TTTCTACATTACAGGAGCCATTCACCCAAGACAGCCAAACTGAACAGTATGAACACTCTGCTGCCCAAACTGCTTTGCCTAACAACATCTTCCCATTTATCCAGGAGCCTATGGCCAGCAGAACATTACTTGACTCCATTTCTCTAAGGAAAATGCTTGCGTTTCCTGATGTTTTCAGCTGTGTTTGTACAACTCGCCTTCGTGTGAAGTTGAAAATTACTGCATTTCCTCTTGATCCTTTGAGAGAAAGGGAAAAAAAGGAAGATTATCAAGATTAAATAAAAATGCCAAAACGTAATCCTTTGTCCCCGTTGAACAAAGCTGTTTAAATAAAGATTGCTGAGCTCAATCTCCTGCATAAAAGCTAAAAGCTGCTTTCTAACCTGTTGCTCTGACACAGTGTGAACAGAATATTGGTTGGCTGCATTACAGTTCATTCACATATTAGAAAAAGACAATAGTAAAACAAGCTTTCAATTTTAACTGTTTTGTTGGGAGTACACCATGGAAAAATGCACTTGGGCCTTTCCTCACAGGGAACCAACAAAGAAGGGAACATTTATTTATTTTCTCAATTTTTGTTTAAAGCCTAAAGCCTGTCTTTTTTCACTGTTTTTTTTCCCTCGATGTGTTATTTTACTGGAGTTACACAATATTCTAATAAACAAGGTCTGAAAAGGTATCTATAGCTTAGATTTGTTTTGATTTGTTATGTTACCAACTAGCTAATTCCTTGCAGAGCCTTGGGAAAAGGAGTCTCCTTGTGAAAGATTTAAGTAGAGGGATCTTGGTCTTTGGCTTTATGCTGAAACAAGGAATAACAAGCCTGATTCCCATATTGCTGTAAAGTAAAGGAAAGGAGGACAGAAAAAACCCAACAGTCTTTCTGGTCTTTGTATGATCCAAAAGAAAACAGGGCAGGAGGTGCAGTAAGGGTATAGTTCATCTTTCATGGAGTATAAAGGCTTTTCTCAAATAAATGTATTAATATATTGGACATACTCTATTACAAACTGCTGAGACTTCTCCCTGGAAAAATTTCCCCCCACCCTCTCCTTGGAGATGCTGGTTCTGACAGGCTGCAACTCCCAATATCTCTACCCAGCTAACAATGCACAGCACCTTGTTCAAACAAGACTGGTCTTCATTTCACACTCCCCCCCAGGGAATATCCACTTTTTTCTTCATACTATATCTTTCTGACTGATGCAATCAGATTCTGGAAACATGCCTTATTAGTTTATATTCCAGCTTCTTAGGGAATGATGTTAATTTTCCATTGTAGGACCAGAAGATTTCAGATGTGCTAGATCTTGTCTATAAGAAACAACAAAAAAAGTGGCACACACTGTACCATGCTCAGAAATGGACTACAGTGAACAGCATTCCTTGCACAGAAACTCTAGGGTTTCCAAAAAAAACCCACATTCTCCTCAGTCCAACAGCACCTGAAGTACAATATTTTACAATTACTTTACGAGTAAATAAATGTGCATTTTCTTACTTATTCACCTGAGCTATTCCGCTTAATTTCTTCATCAGTTCACCATCACAATTGTTTTCTTCCCAGATCTGTGGTTTACTAAGCCTTGATACTGTGATGGCCAAAGAGTTTCATTATATCCATTAAAGATTAGACAACTTTTTTTGTTTCCCACAGCAAATACGATCCCATTCATGTCCCAAACAGAATGTCAGTAGTTGGAATGATGTTTTCTTAAGGTGCATATAAGATTAAAGACTGAAATCAGATGCAGTATTGCCAAAGTCTTTGTAATATGCATGTTTTTCATGGCAAGATGATTGACAAGGATTGCAGTAAGGTGCTGAAGGGGATATTTCACCTGGCCCATCAAAATTCAATGTAGAGGATTAGAACTAAGAAGAGCTGACAATATTGACTTTGAGTACCACAACGGAAACATAATTAGCTTTTTGACATGCAGTGGACAGAAATATTCCATTTCTTAAAAAATCAGTTAGAGTAATTACAGTGTATCTGTTGCATGCTGCCCTGGGAAAAAGGAAAAAAAAAAAGAGAAAGAAAAAAGGTCTGCTCTGCTGTTTCCTCTTTTCCCAGTAAAATCCAAGTTTGGCACTAGAATAAATGCATACAAACCCAGCCTTTCTGCTGGAAGGACATCAGGAAAACTTTGTGCATTAAAGTAAAAAACCTCTCTTAAAAGAGAGCACACAGATCTGAAAGAATGAAAAAGTCAATGAATTTTATACAAGTTTACGTATTGCAAAACAAACTGTCTGCACTATGCTTATTAAAGGCATATTTCATTGCCTAATCATAGATGTCTATTGTACCTTTTATGTTTTGAATCATAATTGCAGCCTGTTCCCCAACTCTAATAACGAAAGACATTTTGGCATATGCTTATATTGATTCTCCTTTAACAAAGCACTTAAAGCACATACTTGCATCCCACTGAAATTAATGACCAACCTTAACTGATGTCACTGGCATTTAGACAAATGGCAATTTATATGGGCACAGAATTGCCTACTTTGTTGGACAGACATGAGCCTCTGAAGAGAACTCTTCAAACTCAAAAGTCTTTAAAATACTCAACTGCTTTTGTTAGAAAAACTATGGCATCCATGGTTTTTATGTTTTTATCAGAATAAATATGCTAGCAAAAAATATGTATTTGTTGTACTGAAGTATCTTTTCTAACTCCTGGTCTGGAATACTCTAAACTGTAGAAATAATTTTCAGTAGATGTAACAAAATACAGTAAATGCAGAAATGGAAAAAGGCAAAACTTAATGGTACAACACCTTGAGAACAAGCTATCGTTAGGTATAATAAATAATGCACTAAGTTCTATTCCCTATTTATTTTGTCTGTATGCTTGTCTGTTATTCTTTTTGCTTTGAGATTAAATGGTATATGAAAATAAGCAAAAAATAATCAAGAATTATGCTTACCTTATTCCCTTTTTTAGCCACTGTTGCTAGCTATTCTAGTTAGTTAGAACCTGCAATGAAATATTTCGGGAAATTAAAATAAATTAAAAATGCAGAAATAGAAATGCCTTTACATAGAGAAAAGTCAATATTTATTCTCAGCATCAAATCCAGGGCATATACTGAGGCAATACTAAAGCAGTCCGTTTCAGAAGCTCAGTATCACCTGACTTCTCATCAAAATCAGTGGACTTAGATATAACAGAAAACTGAGATGAATTGAACAATGTATTCCCTTACTTTTCTGACAGAGAAATTCCTCAGAGTTCTAAATAAATTTTGCAAGTCATTTCTCTATTAATTTTCTAATATTTTTACCTAGCAGTACCCACAGATACAAAGTGGCTTTGTAGCAATGCATTTTCTCCACTCTGTGTTCTAGTTTAAACCCCACAGTGAACAGCTCAGGTAGAATACTGCAGCCCTGTACACTGCTCTGACTGCACTCGGGGAGTTTACTCTTGACAAGACTTCAAGAAACATTATCAGCGTGCAGGGACAATGAAAATACCTGTTAGACCTTGTTAGCTGGAGTAAACAAGAGAATATTTGAAACCACACTTACGAGTCTAGAGGTTCTCTTAATTTAAATTTAAAAATAAGAGGCCATCCAACCTGGAAAAATCTCAGTGGTTATTCAGTTTACACACTGATACAGACAGATATCAACATTTCCTTGATAAAAGGTCCAAGTCTGTCTACTTCTTCATTTCCTTAATATATACTTAGACCAAGAGAGATATCATTAAGATCAAAAAATGTATATATTGTAAGCAGAAATCACACGTACAAAATTAAGCAAGTGCAATCACACATTTACTAGAAAAAATATTCTTTATTAATTAATTAATTCACAACACAATAAATATTGGGATCACACGTGTGAGGGACCCAGCAAAGCTCAGACTTGTTTGCACCACGGTATGGTTTGACAAACAAATCCTCATCAGCTGGCATCCCAAGAAGCCTGACTACATTGTTTTGGTACATTTTCACATGCAATCAGTAAGTTGCAATGTATATCAATTGTTTCAATTTACATTAGTCAGGCTTTTAAAAACAATTCTTAAGCACCATCCCTGGTGAATCCTTCAGGAAAAAAAGCACAATCACAATATTTGTTATTATTCGGTCTTGCTGTTGATTCTGACATTATTATGTAGGTGGAATTTGTATGTTTAGTTTTACTTCGGGGGCAACAGCATTTTCCACTAAATGAGGAACAGAACCAGGCTGCTGTTGAAGAGACAGGAACAATTTCATGCAGGCCACTCAGCAATTCTAAAACCAAGACAGTTCTGTTTCTTCTGAAAACTATGACATGCCTTAGTTTCACACCCTATATACACTGAGGTCACATTTCCTTGAGATCTCTATTTGCTGTCTCAAATAATTAATTTGAACTTAATGATGAATGAAATTAACTCCTCTTTCCATTGATTTATCTGTAGGGACAGACAACTCTGCTGGATGCACTGGTATGGCAGAGAAAAGAAGCAGATATTACATGGTTAAACACCAATGCTTTCATTTTTGGGAAACTAAAGGAACTATAATAGGTAGTCACCAGAAAGAAAATCTTGCATGCATAAACATTAAGAGTTTTGTCAGAGGTGAGCAGTTTCTCACAGTAAAATCTCTATTAGGCTGTATCTCCGTATTTTGAAATATTAAGTAAAACATTTTAAGAAACCCTAATTTACTCTGAACTCTTTTTTTTGTAAACAGCTGAGGAAAATCTAGCAAGGATTTTGGCTGCATCACACTCATAAAGCCGTTTTTAAAAAGAAACAGAAACTTCTGAATGTGCAGGTATGCACCTATTTATATAAAGTTTTCATCATTTCTTCTAAAGGCAGTTGCAAAATTCAGGCATTGTTTCAACAACACTTCCAATCCAAATACTTTTTATCAACTACAAACTTATGCATGACTTCACAGATGAAAAAAGCCATCAGCAGATCTGATAGGAATGCCACTTGGAGTCCAACAAGATCACTTCTTCCTATTTTATGGACCAGAAACATTTAGGATTTCATTTGTTGTTGAAATTTAAAAAAATATTTGAAAAGTTAATATTCTTATATCAATGAGAGCATGATAAATGCTGTTAAATCCTATTTTACAAAGAAGTTTCGATCCCTTTTGTCTAATAGCTTCTCAGACAGGTACAATTCTCATGGTAAAAATTATTTCATGCTTGACATAAACCAACCATTTGTTTGTGTTGCTGCAGCAGTGAAATACCAATCAAATTAAAATAGCAGATGTATATGTGATCATCCGAATATTCTTCAGAACTGCAACAAGTTTGGAATTAAAATAAATTCCACACATCTAACATGGATACCAATTAACTGCAAAAAGGATATATTTTGCTTCACCTGAAGCTGGTCTCTTCCAGTGTGCACTATTCTGCTGTAAAGGGTGCAAGAAACTGAGACTGGCATTGAAATTCAGTGCAGATCAGTTTGTGTGTGTCTTTGCCAGGCTGCCTCCTTAACAGGGCTCTGCACAAGAAGCGTCACTCTCAGATTTGTTCCTCTCCTGCCACATGTGAGCCAGCATCTCCCCCTTCTGGAGAACACGAAAATCAGCCGGAATTTGTAACAGGGCAATGCTTTCTTACTCGGGCCAGTACACAAAAAAAATAAAAAGAAAAGGTTGCAGATGATTATTTTATATCTTTGCTCAGGGCAGGACCATTTCTCTTCTGGATCACTGCTTAATGTAGTTCCCTTCAGTAAAGTGTTTTATTAATGCCAGATGTAAGTGAGTTCAGCTATAGTCTCTAGCTCATCAGTAAGAAAGTCTTAAAAACAAACCAAGAAAATATTTCAGTATCAGCCATATTTCTGCATTCTAAAAACCAGAAAATGCTGCATAAGGTGGATTATTAGAGACACTTACTCTACTTGTCAGATTAATATACACTGTTCAAGTAGTAATTTGTGAGCTGTGTCAATTTAGTTTGGACTCAGCTGAATTAAAAATTTCAGGAGTAGGCAGAGGGGCCACCATAAAATCCAACTCTTCCTTCAGCACCTCTGAGATAGTTCATTGTCAGTCCTTACCATAACACTGTGACCAGGCTGTTACTGATCAATCCATTGTGACTCTTCCAGCAGCAGTACAGCTTCAGGTGATTTTCTATTAAAGTACTTTACATACTACATTTCAAAGGAAAAAACCCAAAGATGACTGCTTACCCTTTTTTTACCCACTCCAGGAAGTTGTTCCCACTAGCGAATGTAGAGTCTCAGTGGTCAGTATTAGAATCAGTAATGAGCAATCCAAGCATGCAGGACAAAGCATCCCACCAAACTTCTAAGGGATGCCCTGTCTGAGACTCTTCTGCTGGCAGCCAGTCGTGCCAACAGGGAAACCCAAATGACAACTGCTTCATTTGTAGATGGCCTCGGATGTCATAGGCTTTAGTTATACTTACATATAAAATACTGTGATTATGCCCTAGCTCCCAGCAACAGAAGAGCTTTAGGCACTTAAAGATTTGTTGCAGCAGAACTACATTGGTTTTAGAACAGTGAGTGTGCAAGGAAAATATTTTGGCTGTGAAAAAAAGCTCTCTACAAGGAGAACGAGAAAGATTCCTGTAACCTGAAGCATTAACGCTGTTTCAACTTTAAGTGCCCCTTTTCTTTACAAATATGTTTTGTGGTTTTTTTCCTTCTTCCCAGGGATGGTATTTAACCTCAGCAGCCTGTGACTGTTGCATCCAGGCCAGAACGCTTTGTAATGTGCAACTTGGTCACTTCTTCAGCACAGGTGGGGTGAATGCCAACTGTCTTCATCATCTGAGGATACGTAGCACCACATCTACCAAGAAATGACAACAAAAAAAATGACCCACAAAGTCAAACGCTGAAGCAGCTAGAAGGTCCTAAAACATCAAAGTAATTTTGCTCTTGTCCATTTGATCAGGTAGAAGAGTTGCATTTGATCTTCAAACAATGCTGTCTACTATTTCTCAGGCACTTACACAACACGTAGACGCCCAGCTTCCCAACACTGAGGTAGGAAAGAATTGTCATAAGAGTTGAGACAGAGAGAATTAAGCAATTTACCCTAAGTCACAACTGAGCCTGTGGCAAAAACATATGACAAAACTGCAACCTTCAGCTTTTCTTGTACATACATGTGTGTTTCACTAACTCCAGATGGAAAAAAATGCATACATATACAGAGAGAAGAAAATCTTAATTAGAGCTGTTGGAAAGAATCTGCTGAAGGAAAGAATACCAGAATATTCTTCCATGAACTTAAAGTCTCTGATGCTTACACTGAACATATCAATGTTATAACTGAGGAAAAAAAAAGTCTATTATTTGAAAAAAATAAACATACAAGCAAACAAAACCCATCAAAAATCCCTGGTGCTACAATCCCATTTGCTTAATTCCCTTCCTTGTCCAGTAACACTCTTAAGACTTGATGACTTTGTTTTGAACTGCTATTCCTGGCAGGCTATGCTGTAAGAATAGCTGAAATGGCCCTAAATTTAAGGATTGTTTCAAGCTCTCTATGGAATAATGTTATCTCCCTCTACAAAATACAGGGAAGGAAGCCATAGATGCCTTTTGGTGTCTCCACTTACATCCAAAAAAGCACTGACAAGCAAAAGATCTTTGCTGACCACAGATGTTACTGGAGTGCTGGGTGGGAAGGGAAGATGAAAAATCATCCTTCAGAGAGGCTGAAGCAAGACCTAATATTTGACAAAGGAGAAGGGCAGTTTTTACTGTGGGGGTTCCACATATAAAGCTCTGGATTTGTGAAATGCAATAGAAACCAACACAAGAATCTGACCTGCTGAAAACCTCTTACTGTGGCTAAACTTTTCATTTCCCTCAAGCAAGGCAGAAAAACACTCCAGTTTCATGTGCTTCCTTTTCAATGGTTATTTTGGATAAAACTTCAAAACAATGACATCCTAAAAAATGTAGTTCTAGAATCTATACCACTGGCAATTAATGGACTACAAACACATGTTGAAAATGTGTACTGAGGGCACAGTGCAATCAGTGATTTCCAAGATATTCCTCACATGATACTTGTGGTCCTGCCTTCTTAATCCTTTCTGCTTTTCATTTATAATAGTCACTCACAACTGCAGGACTAAAACTGCAGCAAAATGGTGATCAAATTTAGAAAAATGAACTGACACCACAAATGGTGATGATTTATGATGTCCCAGATGATTTTATTTGAAGAGAGAGTAAAAAATTGTAATTTTGTAATGTAAATAAAGGAATCGACATTTCTGAAGATGTGAATCAACAATAAGAAGGGGAAAGGAAAAAACAAGTAAGAAATAATTGTAGCACACAAAAAGCATAGCAAGAATTTTCCATTTAACCAGACAGGACTGAGAATCACTCCTTGCTTCTTCAAATGGGGAACTTCTGTATTAATATTTGAGCAAAATCTTAAACAAGATCAGATCACAAAGGGTAAATTTTTTATTGCAATTATCAGACAGCTTCAAACAAAAGTATCTTCCCTCACCCATCATCCTACAGAAGTTTCTTTTTTATTATATTATAGTTAGCTTATATCCCAGCAATATAAGAATTCATGCAAACCTTGCTGAACTTTAAAGAAGCCATGGCTGTGCAAATTTAAAGATGAGATTAGGAAAGGAAATCCTTGGCAGGTGTAAAGAAAGGTTTTTCTGAAGAGGACAAATATATTTTTGAAGAAGTAACTTGCCAAACTAGTGATATCCTATTCTGTGCACAGAATATAAAAGAAGCTAAACTGAAAAAACTAACATTAGTTAAGTTAATGCTTAATTCTCTTTTTTGCTTCAACTATATCAAATCAACAATATATTTTCCTCAGTTGTTCCCTAACTATATCCAGTAACTAAATCCAGTATATCTTAATGAAGAACTGCAGTATTTTTAGTGAAAATATATGCAATACTCCATAAAAGTAACAAAAAGCATGCATTCTTTATAGTGTTGCCAAAACTAGGCAGCTATCTTTTATAATCTTACAATAACTTAAGAAGCAGGCTTTAGAAGCTGGAGACATTCTTTTGTACTTACTTGATTCCAAGAGCAAATCCTTGAATAACTTCGCCTGCATTTGGTCCAATGAAATGAAGGCCAAGTATTCGTTGCTCCCTCTCTCGTAAGCACACCATCTGAAAACAATACATCACAAAAAGATCTTTCCTTAGAACACTTAAAGATAAGGCATGAAGATGAATTAAATGAAACTGGAGTGCCCCAATATCCTAGTTCAGCTGTTTATTTCCAGTGTGTCAAAAACGTATGCACTTGCTTAAGTCTTACTCTTATTGTCCTTAAGCACTTTCCTAAATTGAAGCTTTATTTAGTGTATTTCTTTCAGACTTGAGGGAGCCACTGACAACAGTAATTTCTGAATACTTTGTTGTTTGCCATTTGTACGAAATCCTCAAAGAATTTTCTGTAGCCTGGTGACCAGACCAATGGTCTTTTCCACTGAGTGGCCACCTCAGCACTTCTCCAAGCCTGGGCAGTTGTTTTGATCAGCTGTATTTTTCACAGAAGACCACTACCATTCTCAGCTGTATTTTTCACAGAAGACCACTATCAAGGAGATTTTGTGCCTTTGTGACTCAGTCAGTAAACACTTACAGCAGCATGTTTGGTGAGATACATTTACCACATGGGGCACATAACCTAAAAAGGAGTCCAGCCTCAGAAGCAGCCAAAGATGAAGGTTAATAAGTATCTAGGAGAGCCTGAGTCATTGCACACTTCACTTTTATTAGAGAACTTAATGAAAACGTTTTAGTTCCTCTAAGGACACCATCTTTATAATTAAGAAAAGAAATTCAGTCTCTCCCTGCATCCTTCCATCAAACATTAAATTATCACTAATCTACTAAATCTACTAAGTTCTGCTATTCAGTAGAAGCTTAAATTCTTTCATCAGGAATGCCACGAGCAGCAGCAATCCTGATGTGGGACTTTAAATATTAAGGCGTTTTAAAGAAAAAATTCTTGCAACAGAGTTTGAAAGACTCAAATGAAATGTTTGTTTACATGTTTTGACAGTTTAGTAAGGACTATATTTAATATCATCCAACAACCATTATGCTATTACTACTTCACCCTTAAATATTTACTCTAATTGACATAATTCAAAGGGAATACATAAAATTGAATATATCACCTTTGTTACACTGGAACTTGGGACACTTATGGCTAGCATTTACATAATTCAGAGGTGAAAAAACACAGTCAGAAAAACGGATTGCAATTATTGACAATGGACATTCCTTACATAACAATAACAATATAATATATTGATGGACACATTTATGCAAAACAGACTGTTCCCTGATGATAAGGAGAAAAGGAAAAGAAGAAAACTATGATATATTCTACCAACACTACAATTCATCTTATCTAAGATTCTCTCCTGTAGGCAAGAGCATCAAAAACCTTTCTAACACTGAAACAACTGGATTGCTGCAGAAGGCCCTTTGCAGGTCTGGCACTTTGGTCTAAACCAGGAGCTTTTTTTGTTTTCCTGGGTAGAGACTGAATAGTTACTGTAGTTTTGTAAGCCTTATGCTTAATTTTTGAAGGTATCATACTTTCAGCAAGAGGTGTTAACATAAATATTACATGTAACCAGTTAAGAACTTTGCTGGGAGAAGCAGAGATTGATCTCTGTAGAATTTGAAATATATCTTAGGACCTTAAAAGCAGTTCAAAGATGCTTTTTATCAGCAGAATGTCAGAAGTGCTAATATCTGTAAAGCAATTTCAAAATATCTGCCACCAAGAAAACATCCATCTTGAGATGGTTTTTTGCCAAACAGTGCTCTTTAAAGTTGGCTGTACCATATCCCATTTTAAATTAAAAGCCCACAAAACTCACTTTCATATAGCATTGAGATGCATCTCTTTCAGCCACTGTAAACTCTAAGGGTTTGTAATATGCATGGTACACCTGGTAGGAAAAACAGTAACATTTTATGTTAGAAAGTACTATAATGTAAAACCTGGTATTTATTACTATAATAACTACTATTACTACATATTGATACCTTTGTACAAAATTTATTTATAACCTGATAGTTATTATAAAAAAAATATGGAAAACACAGTAAGAGCTTAACACAAACCTTTCTCAGAGAATCATTAGATTAAAAACAAAACTGAAAAAACCTTCACAAACAATGTTGCTCAGACTAATGCAACTAATTAAAGGGAAAAAAAAAAAGTATTTTTATGCTTCTCCCAAAGGTTGTTTACTGAAAATAATGAAATCCAAGCATCTTTTCATATCTATAATAATGCATCCCACAGCAAAATCCAAATGGTAATTTTTGCATTCTGAATAGTAAATTCTTCTTTTTTGATTAACGATTTTCCCTGGGGCAAGAGTAACACAACATATCTTTTCAAGGTAGCTTGTAGAAAGTAACATAACCATTATTTAATGATGCTGTACAATATAACTTGCTAAAATGGCAGCTATTTAAAGCTGTCACACCCCATCAGTGATTTTAAGCCCAGTAGGTAACAGCTCCCATTGTGACCTGCTGCAATAGTACTGAAGTTCTGAGCACTTCTGGACACACCAGCTCCCTAACTGTAAACACGGTATTTTGGGGATTAAAAGTTTTACCTGATACAGCAGTAAAAATTCTGCCTTTTCACATGGTAACTCTGACACCAACCAGAAAATTAAAAATCTTTTCGTACCTCAATATTATCTGATCCATGACGTTGCACAGCTGCTTCTTCTGACAGGCCAACACAACCATATTCCAGGGGAGTGAAGACTGTGGTAGGCACCTGCTCAGGAGGAAGCAGAAGGTGTTATCAGCTGAACCATGTGCAGCAGCTGCCTGGCACACACTTGTGCACAACTGAGAGCTGCAGCTCAGGCACACAGCTCCACTTGGGCTGCTGTCAAAGCTGGATTCCAGGTGACAAAACCCAATTGCTCAAAAATTCTTTAAAAGAAAAAAGCCAAAGATTGCTCTTACAGAAATAAGACATAACTCACATTGTCATAGTCCATCAGTTCTGAAGACTGGCCGAAAAGACGCTGAGCCAGCAGTTTCCCTGCAGCGATTGCTGTGGGTGTTAATTCAGGACGGCCCTAAGAAAAGAGCACAAAGCCTTGTTTGAATTTAAGGAGAAGCAGCATCCAAAGATATCTCCTGGGACAGTGGTCAGAGGAAGGCCAAATCTTTGGAATTCCAGCTTGGTAGCCAGGGCTCCAAATAGAAAAAGTAATAATCATTTCTGTCCAAACATGTTTTAAAGTCTGAGTTTACCATCTGTCTTAATGGGAGAAAAATGTCACAAATATGTCAAATCTTTATACCTTATCATGTCACCTCTTGAAAAGTAGCACATTATCACATGCTGACTGTTCACTTCACCCCTTCTCTCCAAAGTAAGCCAGGAGGAAACTTTTCAAGGTGTCTTGGTTTAAAGCAAGAAGAGCCTGGTTTAAGCAACAGTGTTTTTAAAATATCAGACCTTTTAAAAAAAACTGTCTTACACATTTTACAGAACACAGGCACAAAACCTAGCTATTTGTAGACATTATTACTGACTTTCTCTGTTGGTCCTGGACTGAAAAAAATTTACTGCAATCTATTCTTCTTTACTAGCTTTTTTTTGTATGTTGGTAGACAGACTCTGTACATGGTATTAGCTACCATTTTCTTCAGTACACATACCATATTAATTATCTACACATTAATAGGCATTTAGGCTTTTATCTGTACTAATAACCACTTAAAAGTTCAATTGCAAAAAACCAATCTGAAACATTATATCTAACCTGATAACAGAAGTCACAATTCTAATTTTTAATGAAGACGAATCTAATTTTCCTCCACAGCTCATGACAAATCACAAAGCTGCAAGTCTATCCCTTTTTCCTTCTAACATCCATCAAGTCACAATTTTTCAATTCCAGCATTTTGACTTTCAAGTCTGTAAATGCAATTTACCAGATGAAATTTGTTTTTTCTTATACACATTTGCCTGAAACATGTCTGCCAATCACTTCTGTAGCAGGAAATATATGTTGTTTTGGCATTCCAGAAATGAATAGAAGATTGGAACGAGAGATAAAATTGTCAAAGCACTGCCATGCATTCCATAAAACCCAACTAATTACTAAAACATCCATGCAGATAAAGCCCAATTCCTCATAAACAATGACTTAAAGACCTTCCTTGGTAAATATTTGAAATGCACATTCACTTTGCAGTCATGTGTAGAACTACTCTGCTGATAATTATGGATACGAATTGTTCATAAGAATCCTCCAATGGATTATACATTTAACCAAGATGGTCCTAAGAGAGTTTAAAAATCTTTGAAGTAATGTGTATTTGTTCTAACACAACTCTTTTGGTCTCATTTCTATTCAAAGCAACATACTGTACATTCCACTTTCTCTACACATCTTTGTTGTAACACCCTTTGAAATATGACAGATGTAGAGCAGCCTGACCATATGATAAACCTTCTTCTGAGAAAATGTCTTTATAGTGTGTGCCATGCTTTTCAACAAGAACACTACTGGAGGAAGGATTTTAACACAGAGTTTATATCAGCACTGAAAGAAAGAATTCAAACTAAAATTCCAGCTTGATCTTCCTGATCCTGATTACAGAAGATGAAAATGCTGAAATGCAATTTCACCTGCCAGCTGAAAATAATATTTTGCCAAAACATGAATAATGTTTTTTGAGGGTACACAAACTGACTGACATCTGGAAGATTTTTTTCCCTTTTTTTTCCAAATGAAATTTGGGTAACATTAGGATTCCATTTGTCATACAGGGGTGCAACAAGACACCCATGCACACACAGATTCCCATTTGTACCAGCTGGGTAGGACTCCCAAATGAAAACAGTGATTCTGAGCAATCAGGAAACTCAGCTGCCCCCTTTCTCACTCCCCTTCCAGCCAGGGCACTGAATTCAAACAAAAAAATAAGCAGTTCTTGGTATTTGGTGGCAATTCAGTATTTATTCTGTGTGGAATGGTAAAGGAGGGACGATGGCTTGGGAACTACTCACAGAATTTGAGTAAAAGTGCTTTATGGTAGGAAAGAAACTCCAACAGGGACAGAGCAGAGCAAAGAGAAATCCTGAGCAGGAACACCAGAGGAAAAAAGAATTTTTGTAATGATTCCTAGGGATCACTGATGCTCACTCACAGGAAACAAGATTCCCTTTCCTGTGCTCTTTTGGAAGGTCCCACCCAAAAAGTACCACAGCCAAGCTCTGCAGCTTTGTGGTTCTTAGCAGGATGCCCTTGATTCTCGTGTGTTACTTTGAGACATGCACCAACACAGAAATTTCTTTCACTGCTGGTTCCCATGACAATGAAATTTATTATCTAAATTAATTCTGCTTAAGAAAAAAAAAAAAGAAAGACTAAACTAATTTAAGTATTCAAATACAATAAACTTCATTGCTTAGCAAGTGGAATTACACAGGTCACATTGTGCTGGAGTCAGATAAGATTGTGGCAGTATTCCTTTTTATCTCTCAACACTTGAAATGTATGAGTACTATAAGATGACCTCTTTAATTCTCTGCATTGAACCAATATGCAGATAAAAGCTTACAGGAATATTCTACAGAGCACTGACTTAACTTTTTCATTTTTTACCCCAGTTGTACACTGGACACAGCATAGAACTGTGCTGCTGTTTTTAACACTGATATTTAGAAGTGTCTATTGAACCACTCAGGTTCAAAAATCTGCACTAATAAAGACAAAAGCAGGAAAAGGAAATCCAAGTTTTAACAACAAAATGAAACTAACAAATAAATGAAGACATGATTTTTTAGATCCAGAGTAGGAAAGAGGAGAGCATCCTGCCTCCAACTTCATATTTCTTATTTAACTAAATCCTCAAAGGGCAGAAGACAAAAAGCATCCAAAAGGAAATGACTTGCCCAAAATAACACTGCAGATTGGCAGCAAAATAAGCAACAGAATTTAAGCCCTGCCAGCATTGCCTCTAACAACTGCTTCTTGGATGAAATTAAAAAGAAAATTTTGGAAAGCAGGAGGCCAGCCAAGGCATATATATCAGGGATAAGCAGGTGTAGAAGGTTGCTGTGAGCAGAGAGTAGACTTTAGGAAGTTTCTGAGAGCAAGAAGTGACAAGTACAGAGGACATCTGCATGTGAAATGAGAAGAAAGGAGAGGAACTTCACAGAATCCCAAAGCTCTGAGTGACTGGAAAGGACAAACAGGACAGAGAAATTGTGTAGAGTAAGGGAGAAAAAAATAGAAGAAGAAATATCTGAGAAGTAAAGAGTTTTAACACAATTTAAAAGGAAATGGCAAGTCCACATGAAGATGGAGAGAAACAGGAAGAAACACATGTCTACACAGAGGGACGAGGTCAGGAGTGGTCAGCAGATTTATGAGATTTAAGTGTCTCTGGCAGCTCCAAAGTCCACTCAGAAATGTGCAGGGCTATTCCCAAGATATCATTTAATCTGTTACATCTCACCAGAAACTAAAAGCACCTGTAAGGTTTATACATTTGAGAGACCTTTAAAATATTTTAAACGTAGCAGAATGAGAAATCTTTTCAACTTCTCTAAAATTATACTATATATACTGTTTGGATATTGCTACAGTACTTAGCTTTACCAGACTTATAAGGCAGATGTCTCCACTATATGAAAAACAATCTTGATAGAAAGCCTTCAGTTCCATAAAGTTCAGTAACAGGTGAGAGGACTCTGTATCTTGCAATGCCCAGCATTGCTCTGTACTCTACATATTGCCCAAAATTTTCCAGGCACAGCAGGCAGATGATGACAACATCCTCCTGAGAATCTACAGTTCAGAATCCAAACATTTTGTATGAAATCAACATATCTGAGGATGCCCAACTTACAGCAGATAATCGGAGCTCTTATGTAAAATGAAAATTGGCAGATAGAGAGTATTTAAGTGCACATTTATCATTACAAGACATTCTTATCATATATGACTATAGATTATCAGTAGCACTAGAATAAGACCACAGAATCTGGTTTTACCTCTCTAACAAGGAAATTATTTTGCTTGTTACAATGTCTCCTTCTTAAAAGAAAAAAAACAACAACAAAAAAGCCACACCCCTCATGTTCTTTCAGCATAGTCATTCACAAATAATGAAAAAATGGCAAATGCATTGAGTATTTTCAGCAATTACTTTTTCATATTCTATAGCAAAGACTTTTGTCAGAAGCACTTTGCATCAGGGAGTTAAAAAGCTGTTTTGTGATTAGTCTCAACACCCAAAATACCCCAAATGTGGTCACAGAACTTGTCACAGTCATTCCCAGTAAATCTTCTCAGCTGGAGAAGGTAAGAACTGCTTTCACTCAGCATTCACAGGCACTATGAAGTCATATGTCAGAAGTGATAAAAACATTATTAGAAAGATAACAGGAGTGATAAAGACATCATTATTAGCCTCTGACCAATGATGCATTCCCTGATAAACATCAGCAATAATCTCTCATGCTGAGATACTTCACAAGATCCCTGTGAAGGAAATTACTGACCCAGGTGGCTGGCATAAACACTCCAGCCCTGCCAAGTGAAAAAGTGCAAAACACTAACATATACACTAGAGCATGACTACATCTGGGGACTAGTTATTAGTCAGGAACAAAGTTGGCTTCCTGTTATTGTAAAATAGTTTATGTAGACTCAGTACCTCTGTAATGTCTCCAATTGCATAAATGTGAGGAACAGAAGTAGCTTCACTGGCATCAACAATAATCTTTCCAGTTTCAGAATTAGTTTTCACTCCAATTGTGTCCAAATTGAGAGTTTTGGTGTCAGGGGCTCGGCCTTAAGGGAAAAAAAAAAAAAAAGATTTTAAAGTAAAAGCCATTGGAAAACTTCAGCAGTGCTAATCTAAAAAGCTGGCATCCTCCACCGTGGATCTCCAAGAACTTTGTTCCATTTGATAGTCCAGGCAGTAATATGAGAAAACTTATACTGAGAAAGCTGCAGGGGTGGAAAGTATGGATATGACATTCAGTGGGAAAGGAGCTCCATCACTATTGCCTTTGCTCAAACATCAGAGGGTTAGCCTTTTTAAATCTGGAGGACAACACCCACTGGAAAAAGTGAAAAAAAACCACATGATTTCATATTTATTGAACATTCCAAATTTAGTTTCCTAATGTAGCACAAATATACATATAAAAACTAAGCAACTTCTACACTGAAAATCTCCAATAAAGATTAACTGAATGGCACTCAATGCCGACAGCATATTGTGTATACTTTTTGAATAAAAATTATTAATACTGTTCAAAGTTAAACATTCCTCAAGTCCTTGTTTCTTGTAATCTGAATACACTTATCTTAAAACACTTTTAGTTCTCTCAACTTAGATGAAAAATTGTATCAACTTTGCTCTCAAGTCCTAAATGCTGATTTATTAATCTCAGACTGTATCTGAGCTATTTCTGTAGAGTTTTGAAACATTTTAAATACATTTTTAAACTGTATTTAAAAACAAATGAGGCAAATACAACTAAGCCCATATTTTATTCCAGCTTCCAATTCCAATGATATCAAATTATCTCATATTTAAAAAATACATTTTTGTAGTGTTTTTTCCATAGTTGCCCCTTAGATCACCAAAGTCTTAAGAGCATTCCACTGAGCTTTCTATAGAGTACCTAAGGAAGCAATTCCTGACCCAGAAATTGGAATTTTAAATCCTATCCAACTTGTTTGAAAGTTAATAAGCACAGTGAAATTATGTGGTAGTCATAAAATTTTTAAGGCTACACAGGATCACATAGAAAAAAATTACCTGAATATATCCAAATTAAGGAAATTTTTTAACATTGTGTTTTAGAGGCTTTAAATGAATATGGATATATTCATTTCTACACATACAGGTCTACACATACAGGTCTCCTTTGCGTGAGTCGTGATTTGCATTTGATGTTAATACAGAGCTATAGCAAAGCAAAACAAAAAGGGAAATATGTTTTCATTATAGAAACAACCTCTTTGATGTTAATGTAGGAAATTATTAAAAAAAAGGAAAACCTGGCTTGTCAATACAGACCTAATTATATGTAAACATATGATTCAGTGCTTTATACATCTGCCATATAGGCAGGCCCCTCAAACAATGTCACATCTGAATGCCTCTGTAAAGACTTCTGTGTATTAATTTCATCTGGTGAAACCAACACTTCCTCTGGGAGCACTGACTGAAGCTGTCGGCACTTGGCTATCTGTCTGTCTTCCCTTCTGTTGTCCCCATGGGATGTTGATCTGCTGTTCCTTCTCTGCCCCCTGCTCCCCAGTCCTGATGCTATCAGGCAACAAAAATAATAAACCTCCAGGACCTTATCTTGGCTCGGATGTGAAACAACTTCCTACCGTTGTATTTTTTTGTGTATTGAGAGTAAAGCCTGGGTATTCTGCAAATGGACAACTAATGGGGTTTTCTAGTTTCCTCTTTTTCCTGCCAGGCAGAGCCAAGAGAAAACTTAGCACGCAACGGCAGGCAATGAAAGAGGAAAAAAAGAAAAACAGTCAATAGAGTCATTTAAAGACCTGTGACAACAACAGCTGAGTTTATCAAACCTGCAGGATAACACTTAACCTTTCCATTGCAGTCTATTTTAACAAATGTACAGCTTGGTATTAATAGCTAAGAGTTACAAAAAATGTGCTGCTTCACATAATGAAGCTCTCTCTCAAGCTTACTGCCTAACTATTATTTTTGAAGGCAAAACAAAATTTTTAAACACTGAACTGAAGCTTTATTGGCCTTAAGCCCCATGCAGGTTCACCTCCATAAACAAGAATGATACTTACTGATCTTGCTTCATCTCAAATTCAGTAGCTTAGGCTCATGATTATATAATGTGTCTTGGTAGGCTGTAGTGCCAAATTCAGGGAATTCTGATATTTCCCAACATTCATTTACTATTACAAAATCAGTTCTCATAATTTCTCAGTAGGACTTTCATTTTATACCCTAACTCCTGATTTTTTCAGAAAGCAAGAATGACTTCACAGCTTTTTTCTGTGATCCCAAATCCTATCAGGCACACAAACCCACCCTTTGCCTAAAATCAGCACATGTGCTTTTAGTTTGAAGATGTCCTGAAACTGCCAAAGAACAGGAATGTACAACTGTATAGGACACAAGATTAGATTTAGCTTTCATTCAAAACAGCAAAATATTATGCCAGACATCTAGAAGAAAGGTGCAACTCAAATCTGACCCTTAAAAAGGTTACCTGCCTCCTGCACTTCTAACAGCACACCATAATCTCATCTTTCATAGACCCATACACTTACACACAGCTGTGAAAACCACACAGAGCCCTGCTTTCAGTGCCGGCCCCCATTTGCTTTTAACTTCATAAGAAAAAACAGCTTTTTGATCTGTTTTTGTAAAATCTAACAACATGGCTTCCTAAGGGGGCTCCAGCCAGGGGGCTCCACTGCGGGGAGTGACAGGGGAGTGGCTGAAGCTCACATCACAGACACTGCCAGGCTGGCTGTGTTCTGGGGTGGCATTTGTGTCTCATCACCTGCCAGAGGGCTCTGCTAATCACACCTGAACATGGAACAAGTATCAGACTGTGACCTTCAGGTGCAGCACCTTCAACAGTGGAGATTGAAGCAGCTAAACTCAGAAGGCAGAGGAATAGCCACAGTCAGGTAAGCAGCAGTGGTAAATGAGTGATAGCATATTCTTGCATTCAGTAAGATTTCCCAGGGTGATAAAGGTGCAGCTGACAGCAGAATTTTATTATGGGTCTTCCAGAGTTTCTTAACCACGGAAGTTGGAATGACTGTTTGCCTCCCAACATTTTAAAAATCCAAACTGGTGCCAATCATGCATTTTATTACAGATGCCCACTGTGAGGATACTGCTGGGTGACAGAAGAGTTTTTCTGGAATAAAGCTCAAGCCCAATAGTCTCCTCCACTTCTTCCCTATACATTGGCATTTTGACACATCATCTTATAACTTTATCCAATCTGACCTCAGTCTCACCTTGATCAAAATCTTGTACATGTTCCCAGTCTCAATACTCTCTTCTTTCTGAATGCCTGACACATTCCCCAAATTAGTTTCAAGACTGTTACCTTTTCATCCTTCAAATGTCCTAAAACCCACAAGATGTTCACTAAAACAGAATCAGCTGATAATGACTAAAAAAAGCCACTTCACTGTAATTACAGTTCAGATTACAGGAAAATACTGACTACAGTAAGATTAAGTAAGGTTAAAAGAAGTTCAGAACCTTTATCACACTGATAGCAGAGTGCACCATTTCTACAAGGATGCTTTTGAACATTACATCCATTACTGATAAACCTCTAGCATGCCTGCCACAATTTGAAAAATATCTGGCCCTTGGTCAGTGCTAGGGCAGTAGCTGGTTCTCTGCCAAGGCTGCTCACTGTACTCTCCTGCAGCACTGACTCTCACTTTTTACACAGAGGAGTCCTCACAGCAGAAAGCTCGTGGTGCAATGAGCAAAAACCTGGCCGTGGTCATCCAGTGCACACCTGGAGTTAACAAGAAAAGCAACTCCAAGTCACATGTAATCAAATTTAAAACTTACAGCATGGGACAGACTTCTAAAATTCTAGTTTTCTTGTTCTCAATGTCCTGTAAAAAGTGAAAAGCACTGGAAACATTTTCTGAGAAGAAAGTTACAGTTCACTCGTACATTAATTGTCCCACACAAAGCTTGCTTTAACCAAAGGTTTGGATTCAAAGGATGGCTCTGCAGTCTCAAAAACCAGCAGTCAACCACTATTCCCAAGTGAGGTGGGTCATTGGCTTCAATCTCCTCAGCATTTATGACTGAGCAGAATCTGCATTCTGCATGAACTGTCACAGTAATTATACTGTTTTCAAGAAATTATTTTGGAGAAATTTTCTGCCATTTAAAAATCTATTTATACCATCATTCAGGTAAAGGTCAGCATTACCACCTATCAACTCAAATAGCACCTTATTGCTGAAATAGTTCTGAATCTAACCTTCTTAACCTTCTTCACATGCAGATCTAGAGGCATAGCCTAGCAATGAACAAGTTATTTTTGTAGTTACAGGCTAATTACAGGTAAATAAATTATTAGTTACAGGTAAAATAAGTAGCCTAAAATAAAAGTTACACTCAAAAGTTTATGGGTTGATTAAACAAAGGGAAAAGTAAATTAAAAGTAGTCCTGCTGAATAAAGTCTGACTGAATGGCCTTAAAACTAGACATTGGAAAAAAACCTAAAAGCACTGGCTGATATAATGAGAATGACAATTTTCATTAAGGTTGCAGAAACCATATCTTACCAAGAGAGTAATGAATTTAAGTTAGTAAGAGAGACAGACATGGGAAGCTCAGAACAAAGACCCAAAGCCTCAGCAAACCACAGCACATTAGCATTAAGAGTTGTCTGAGATCAACCAAGGTGCTTTATTTTTCACTGAATAATTCAAAGATTAGAAACTCGATGGGAAGATTGTGTTTGCCAAGAAAAATCCAAAGCCCATTCCGTTTTCTACAGGGGCTGGCAGAGATGTGCCCACAGGAGATCACAGCAATATTTTACCTTATGGGACTTTTCACAGAAAATCTCCTAAGAAAATTTCTGTTTCCCTTGTTAATCCAAACTGGTTTGGTTGTAAGCCTCGAAGAAAACTATTACAAAAAATGTTATGTACTTAACCCTTTGTTGATACCGAACAGTGAGGACTCTATTTTATTGCACAAAATAAACAAAATAAATCTGCCTAATGTCCAATGTGACACAAAGGACAATGTGCTTGATAGCACATGATGTGCAACACCTCATACCTGTTCAGCTTTACACTGACTTAGAGCTGTAACTCTTTTTGCAGATGTATTATTTCAAAGACACGGTCGCAATCCTCTAAGTTTACAAATGCACTGGAACTTGAGAATGGTTATTCCACTGCCCTCATGAGTGAGAAAATTCTTTTTATGAAGCTGAACTTAAAATCTGCTGCTGGCCATTGCCCTTTCTGTCACAGTTTACTAGCACACTACCTCACATTCTCTGACAAACTAATTCCAGGCTATTTTGCAAATACTTGCTTAGTTTAATCATCCATTCAGTGTTGCTCCTCTGCACAGTAGGATCCCACTGGAGATGGAGTGACTCAGTTATCTTTTCTAAGAATTTTATGAATAAACAAATTTCAGTTACAGCAGTGATATTTTGCTATCTATTGCAAACTCACATGGAAACACTACTTACAATTCCTTTTGTATATCAGCTGTTTGCAACTGCTGCACTCCAGCCACAGGTTTCAGCCCTTCAAGAGCTGAAATGAACCTTCCCTACAAAGTCTCATCTCCTGCAACTTTGCCCTGCAGCTCAGCAGTTGCATCTGCTCACAAAGGTGTCAGTCTCTACTCTTTCCTTTGCATGAAGATCCCATGTTTACTCTGAACTTGCATGCATTTACCATTGCTGTGGAACTCAGGTAAATCAGGCATTTAACAAACATTTTTGTATGTCTCTTAAGAGCAGGGAGAATACTATACAGTAGTAAAAGTTTAATTGGTTCTACATGAAACAAAACCTCAAAACCTCAAAATCTTGTAATTCAGGAGAATTCTCTAGAAGCCAAAGACAGCACTAGTAAGACAGAAGAACATACAGAGCTGAACTGGAAAAATCAAATAAAGGTCAAGAACAAGCTCTTAAACTGAGCTAGAATCTAACAGTATGTAGCCCCTCAGCAAGGTATTACAGGTCCATGACAACTATTTACAAAAGTTTGGATTGAAACTTTTAAATTACATTAAAATGTATCAAAATGAGATTTCTTCCCCCCCCTCAAATATTTTGACTAGTTCAAAAAAGCTGCTAGAAAAACAGAGCATTGTGTCTGCTTTTATTGGCTTATCCATATAAGCAGAAAATCACACATTCCAAAAGCAAAACAAAACTCGTCATAGAAACACAATCTAATTTTCTTTTTAAAGAGTTGACATTAAGAGATAGTATTGTAGCTTATTAAACTTTGTCCCACTGTCAGTAATTATTTTTAACATTATTCATAAAATCCTACTAAAATTCCATGAGGCACTGGCAAAAATTATGGAAATATGTACTATTATTTAGGCTACAATTAGTTAACAATAGCAGCTGCTTTTTAACCAACTCTACAAGCTGACTTGCTTCAATCAGTGTTGTAACTGGCACATCTGCAGACAGGAAATCCTCAACACCACCAAGTTTCCCAGCCTATTATCTGAGACACCTGGTGTGGGTGTGTTGATACAGAGCAAAACAATGAATCATATGGACTGCACACCAATTAACCAGCTTGAACTGTTAATGTGTTTAGTCCTTAAGGGTGGAGTGCCAATTTGATAACTAAAAAAAGTCAACACAAAACCCTCAAACTATTCATTTTGCTGTTTCTAAATATGGATTGTAATTCTAATCTGTGACTAAAATGATAATACATGTAGTTCTTCTGTATTGAACTAGTGAGCAGACTCATGTTACAACTGAATTGCAACAGTCTATCATGCAACCTTATTCAATTATAATTAAGAGTAAACCAAGATTTTTTTCTTATAATTTCAACTTAATAGCTCTTTTTTCCATCTTAGACAAAACTAAACAAATTGACTTGACATTTGACATGTGTGTCTCCAACTTTTTCTACTTTTCATAGAACCACAGAAAAGTTTGGGTATTTTTACCAGAAAGCTTAAGAAAAATCAAATACAGCACTTAGAAACCCACTTTTTGGAAACATTTTTATCTCACCTCATGAATATTATTCTACAGTTTTCAGGATTGTTATGTGTCCAGATAGTATGAGCTTTTTTTGCTCTTGGCAAGCACTAGTCTGTCTGATAGGTTCTGATGAGAATAATCCATTATTACAGGCTGTTTCCACATTTTGTAGAGCCCAAGGCTCTTCTAAGAGAGTAGTAGTTACAGTAAGGAAAAGAAAACATTTGTCACAAGGCACAACCTGCTCTCTGTTTGGGGTATTAGGAAGATATAAAGCTGACTTAACCAGGCAAATAGAACAACTGGACCATAGATTAAGTCCACTGGGCAAAATACAAAATGCTGTAAATGATGTGTTTCTGATCCTGTAATGGATCTATTCTACAACCACAAGAATTTTAATTTATGTTTTAAACAAATGAAAGAGTAATGCATCCCCACTACTCTAAAACAGTAGTGCCAGATAAAAAGAATATAAAGTAGTCAAGGGGATTGCTAAAGCTGCTAGTAAAACCAATTACACATCTGCATCAAAACAGATTTTTGGGCAGTATGTTTAAGTCTATTTACTTTGTTTGCCAGATATCATCTGCCTGCCAAATACCACTACTACCTTTAGTCATGCATTATTGGTCTAGAATTTCAGATACTCACAAAGCTTTATAAGCACAAAAGACAAGAGGTCTCCTACTCTGGTGGGCTTACAGCCCATCTGAACCAATACAGGAACTGAGGACAGACTTGTAACAGCGACAAATGAGCAGCTTAGGGAGGCAACACTGAAGGAGTATTTTCATTCCTGTGGGCTGGAGCCTTGTACCATATATAATTTAGTGTGTTAGTCCTTGCAGGAAGTAGCATTTGTCTCAAAAGAGGCAAATCCCAGATTTGATTCCCATTTCTGGTGATTATGCTCACAGACATTTGTCACAGCATTCTTTTAAATCGATTCACTCTTAGTTGTTGTTATATCAGTTCCAAGAGGCCTGAGATAAGTGAAAATCCCTAACCAGATTCAAAAAGCTATACAGTTTCAAGGTTCCCTGCAATGAGCTTGGGTTTTCAGAGAAAGTTACTTCTGAATTGTCATCTCTGAATTGGATGACAGCTGCAGTAACAAACCTAAGCAGCACAGTTTAGAAAAAATCCTAGAAGAAATGGAAGCCTCTGAAAGAGGATAAATATGCACTTACAGTCAACAGCTTCCTGAATCAAGCAAGAGTATGGACTTAGAGAAGACTACCTGCAAACCAGAGCTTGCTGGAGTTTATGTTCTCACTGTAGTAAAAGGGAGGAAGACTAGATGGTCTCTCATTTATTGCAGCTCATGCAAAAATAGTTATCACAGACTTCTTCCATTCACTGTAACTTTAATGTGTTTTTGGACTGTAAACGAACAAGTCAGGCATGCAAGAAAAGAATTAAACAACTATCAATGTTTGTTTAAGTCACTAAACATTTTAAGGGGGGGATTGACCCCATGATGAAGTGACTTCATTTTCAGAATGGAAAGCATTGCAAAGAAATGTTAAGATAATCATATTTACCTACTGCCCACATAACGGTGTTGAAAGAATCGGTTTCTTCTGTGTTCAGGTCAGCATTTTTCCAAGTGACTTGCAATCTGTTGCTCTTCAATTTTTCAACTTTAATTGGGAAACACCTCTTTAAAAATTTTGTGCCATAGGATTCCATGTGCTCAGTTACTAAAGAAGCCATTTGCTGTTGAGTAGTGAAACAAATTTGTTTTTTCTTAGATATATGACCTTTTTAATGTAAACCCCTCCTTCAGCTGGGTTCAGGAAGCCCCAGTAAATATCTTGTGCATTTCAAACATTCTTTATCACTTAGCTACTATGCACTGCTAACATATTATAATTTAGGAAGCCACTATGACCTGCAACTTCATTCCAAGAGGCACCTACACCTGAATACTCAAACTATTTTTGAAAAAATAAAGCAGTATATTAATAAAATGGTTGTATAAAAAACAAATGCTTTAAAAACAATCTAGGGCACATTCAATTTACCATTACCATACTTAAAATTTTCTAGTAGTTTGATGAAAATTAAATACTTTCATAAAACAATGGGAGAAATATATTTCCTTTTGCCATAACACCTGACATTTCTCTTCAATGACTATGAACCACTAAGGTTTCATGGAAAATTCTAATTCAAAGAAAAACACAAAATTTTGTCCTGGGAGTTTGTTTGAAATAATAAGTAGTAAAATGTGGCATCAACAGGTTTATCCAAAGACATCACTGCTCTTGACAGCAGGAACTCAGGTTGCACCTTGCCAGAGTATATTTATTACTTAAAGGATATTATTACAAAACCACTCACATAGAACAACTCCACACAAGCTCTCTCAGCTTACAAAACTTTATTTTCAAGTTGATATTAACTAATATGAAGGCAACAGCAGGGTTATGTCTCTTCAGAAACATGAGAGCTCACTAATCAGTTTCCATCAGATTCAACGTAGCTGCAGACTGAACATATTATTTTATCTCCATTAATACTTCATTAACTTTGGTATGGCCATTGTGCTTTTCCTGCCTACAGAGGATCAAGTTCTCAGAGCAACCCTACTGTGTTAGACCTAGTGCCACACACACTATTCCCTGCTTGCTCATGCTGTTACAGGTGTAGATTTCTTCAATGAGGAGTGTAAATCCCAAGGATTATTCTTATACAATATTTTGCAAACTCATGCCACTGGTTTTAAGGCATATAAGCCACTCCAAAGTGGGGGAGGGTGACATACAACCAGGAGTTGTCACTAGTGCCACTACCACAAGTGGTGTTTGTCACTGCCACTTAAGCAACAGTACTCCCACCTCAAAAACTGTGCACATCCTAGGAAATGTCTGGAGATGCAAACAACACTTTTTCTTTAGGAGATAAAGTAATTAGATCTATCTTTTAATTTATCTGCTAGATAAGGAGATGTAAGGTATTTTGCACTTGCCTGATCAAACCCACGAAGTGGGACACTTCTCATCATGACTGTAGTGTCCATTCCAATGCCTGTTAGAAAACCAGCACACTCAAGGGAAACATCTGGTGATGCACCAGTTAAGCAAATGTAAATAACAATTTCAATAAACACAATATACGAATAGTACACAAGTGGGCTTTTTAATTGGAGATACCAAGTTCTCCTCACACAAACATCTTTAGCTTGCTTTTGTACATAGAATAAAAACTGGGAAGTCTTATAGTTAATACTGGATTCAAGATCCTGAGAATTTATCCTCCTATTGATCTTAATTTCCATGATGTTACTGCATGGAAAACTATTACTATTGTCTTACCAGCTTAACTACATGACATGAGCAAAGGAATTCTGAAAACTGAACCTTCATAGGAAAGACAGCTATGCTACTTACAATCATATATTATCAGAGGCTTTTCAAAGGATACAGCTGGCTCCAACAATCAACCTGTTACAGAAAAAGAAAAGAAGAAAGTGGAATGAGCTTGTACATATATTTGCACAACCAGAAAAAAACATTTTCTGATGTGGGAGTCCCATTTGTCAACTTCCAGTCAGCTGGGACCCCTCAGTTAGCCAGGACTGCTGGTAAATGATGGAGGGTGGCTCAGTCAGCTCTTCCATCAGCTCCCTCAGCACCCTGGGGTGGATTCCATCCAGCCCCTTGGACTTGTGTATGTCCAAGTGCTGTAGCAGGTTTCTAACCAAGTCCTCATGATTTAAAGGGGCTTCATTCTGCTCCCTGTCCCCATCTTTCAGCTCAGGGGTGGGTACCCACAGAACAACCACTCTTAAGGAATGAAGCAAAGAAGGCATTAAGTAGCTCAGCCTTATCCTTATTACTGTGCTTCTCCTCCCCCACATCCAATCAAGGATGGGAATTCTCCTGAGCCCACCTTTTGTTGTTACTGTATTTATAGAAACATTTTTATTGCCTTTTACAGCAGTAGCCAGATTAAGTTCTAACCAGGCTTTGGCCCCTCTAATTTTCTTGCTGTACAACTTCATGACATCCTGTAGTCTTCCTTCTTCTCCCAGGGCCATAAACATTCCTTTTTTCCCTGAGTTCCAGCCAAAACTCTATTCAGCCAGGCCAATCTTCCTCTCTGACAGCTCATCTTTCAGCACATGGGGATGGTCTATCAATTAGATTATGTCTTCCTATCAATTAGATTACAGTTCCCAATCCAAAACTTTATTCATTGCTAAATTTCATTTTGATTTACAACCATCTGCCTTTTAATTGTCATATTTTTCCAAATGCCAGATGTTTGCCCTTCCTGTCTTCAAACATTTGTGTAAGCTATTCTAGAAAATAGGTTTAATAGATTTACTTAGACTGGTATTTACCAAATATATACCTTTTACTTCTTAAATAAAACTCCAGCTCCCATCTCTCCCAATATTTCACACTCTTTCAAACAAGAATATAATTGAAATTGTCCATCAGCAGTTGCAGTTTACGAGGTGTATCAGCTCTCCAGCACAGCAGTTTTCATTTCTGTCCTCAGTTGCTCCCTACACTGCAGCAGTTCCTCTCTCTCCTGACCACATTCTCAGTTCCCAACATTTGCTGGGTACAAAAGGCAGAATGCTCAGTCCCTGTTCTGCAGGTAAAAGCAGCTCCAGCCAGGCAGCCATTAACACTCAGCTGCTGGACAGGCTGCACTTGCACTCCTTTGCTGTTTATGTCTTATGCAGTCTTGTTAAAACCTCACAGCTTGGAGATGCATCCCACACAGTATTTCCCCTGACAACGAAGTATTTTGTTAGGTTTTTGAATGATCTTGTGGCCTATGCCTTACCCTAAACCAATCTGCAGCATCTCCCAGTTCTAACAGCAATGCTTTCAAACTTCTGAGGAGTGCAGACATGGAGGCTGCAGCCCCGTAAGCCCCAGGGACTGCACAGTCAGTACAACACATGTTTTCTCACAAAAGGCTCCAGATAACATCTCTCTACCCTACAATAAAAACACACAACTTCTGAAGGTGTACAGAGAATAGGTTGAGTAAAAGCGATTAAAATCTGCTAGTCTGGGGTTTATGTTTGGCAAACAATTTAACATAATGGGAAATAATTTTTCCAGCATTAGGGTATCTGATTCATCTGTGAATGGATGATCACTCCCTTATTAGCATACAGCTCCTGGGAAGTGCTGCAAAAAGTCACATACTGCCCATAAAGAAATATCTACTGGAGATTGACAGGGAAAAGAATGAGAATTTCTGTAATACGTTTGCACTTCTTTTTCATTAGATGAAAAATAGATGTCAGCTGGCACTTATTCATAGTATCAGCTCCACATTATTCACACTTTCTTGTACAAAATAAGGGGTTCCTGGGCACTGTCAGTGTCTAAAAGAAAAGTCAGGGAAGCAGAACCTAACCTTGTTCACACCTGCTCAATCTCTCACTCATTCTTGACACATTTCAAGGCATCTCTTCTAATTCACTCTGCCAAAACCCTTCATCTCAGTTGTGAGTTTCTTTCCCATGTTTGTGTATCTAAGGGACTTTTAAGTTGGTTAATGGTTTACCTTTTTAAAAAAAAAATATGAAAAATTGCAGGACTGACAGTTCTATAACCTCCAGGCATGTAATTTGTAGCTGAGATATGTACATTTGGAGAGGGAGAAAAGAAAGAATAACTACAACACAGCTCAGACTAAAAACAAAAGGTGTTAAACTGAACCTTGGGAATATTTATAATAGAAACAAATCCGACAGAAACAAACTTTTAACAACTCCTTCCTTCATTTACTAAGACACAGCCTGATAAAGCACAGAAATGCTACTGTAGCCCCTGCAGGCTTATTTTGACTAAATCTCAGGAATGCAACATATAAACACTAGACTCCCACATTACACTGTTACAACTTGCATTAGCAGCAACTGGACAAGAGCCACATTTTCACAGAAATATTTTACAAGGATAAATCTTATATTTTGTTTTGAGGTTTTTGGGGGGGTGAAGGTGCTGCTTTTCTTAAAATCAATCTCCTTGTATAAATGATGCTTCAAAATTCAAGAGGTGACTGATACATTACAAACAAGACATTTATTTTCTTTCTAAAATTGTACCAAGAAGCCTCATTTATCTATTTGAAGTTTAGCTTAACACAGTGCATTTATATAGCAGAAAATCACTGTCATGAATGGCAACTGTTTTTTTGCAAAAACACCAGTATTCTAGTTCGAAGTCTCTTTTTTTTTTTTTTCTAGAATTGCTCAATAGAGAAGACAAAAAAGATAGCATTATCTGACTTTCAGGCTAGAAAATCTGTATTTCCTGTCACAGTTATCTTCATCAGGAAATTGCTCTGTAGTGCAGTGTTGACTCGGAATCTGACTGTGCTATATGCTGTAAAAAACAACTATGGCATTTTTAGTATTTCCGTTAAAAGCAGTGTTTTAATATTTCAGTTAAACAATAGCTTCCAAAGCAAAAGTAACCCAAATGTCTCGTCATATTTTCTTTTGTTATAAGAACTGCCATAACTTAGGAGAACACAAAATTATGTTGGAGTTTCCCCACTAATGGGGGAAGTGAGCAGCTCCCGGGTGAGTTCATGCTGCCCTCTTGTGACTTGGGGTGTAATCGCTACAGAACAACCTAACACGGTGAAAACGTGATTAATTTGATTTTAGAAGAGAATCTCATAAGAGGAGGAGGGAGAAGATCTATCAGTTACTAATGAATTTTAGTATGATATTAGTTAGTATGATATTGATGCATCGCAAAGCACATTTTCATAAGGAAAACAGACAAAAAATTGGTGTTTACCAAACAAAAGGTAATGCTGAACATTTTTCACCTTGTCAAATAGAAAAGGTAGGATTGCCAGGATCTGTTACAGCCATGGTAAGGTAACTTACGTTTTTCCAGGAGATTCCTTTAACCAGAACAGATCATCACTTGTGATTCCATACTCCAGTGCACCTGCAACCTATGATCACACAGGTGAATCTACAATGCAAATCCTGTCAGCAATAAAAGCTAATAGGAAATTGGGCTGTGTTGGCTGAGGTACAGACCAATGGGAATATATCTGGGGCTGCCAACTTCCAACTTGGATTATCTTACAGCTCTAAGCAACACCAACATATTGAATTAGAGCAAATTATTGTCTATGGAAATGTTTTTCTAAAAAGCCATCCTTTAGATAAAGACAATTTTTTGTATGACTCAAGTACAAAAATCTCTCACATGCTTTATTTTTACATTCTTTATCCTCCATCACTGTGTTCTGCATCTCAACCAGCAAAGCATTGGAGTTGTCAAATGGAAGGGTAACTTACATGCATAGGGTATTTTGGTCTTCCTCCAGTAGCAATGACAATATTATCTGCAGTAACAACAGTCTACAAACAAACAAACAAAAAACCGAAATTGAACATTTGCAATCCTTTTATCTGTCTTTGGATTTCATCTATGTACAAATGAGTGATCAGTGAGAAAGATGGCACTACCATCTGCTATTTATGTGACATAATAATCAGCAAAGCATTGAAAAAAGGATGGAGATAAACTAATACCTGCAGAATTTCTCCTACCTATTCTCTACTAGGTTTTGTTTTAATATTAACCGTGCAATTGTTCTTACACTGAGCAAGAGTCTGATGACTACTTGGAAGCAATAGTTAATGCACAAATGACACCATTTTAAAATCAATTTCTTGTCAGGATAAAATGCACAGAGATCACAGCAGTAAATTCTGTCTCAGACATGGAGTTAAGCTATCTCAAAAGGAGAATGTTTCTAGCAAATCCTAGGCACCTACCCCCAAAATCTGATATTAATCAGTAACATTAAACAATTACCCTCAAAAAGGTGTTAGAAAGGCAGGTTCAGGCCTTGTTAAATACACAGCAATGGCCACCATTCCTTCTGTGACCCAGCTGTGCACTCACACTGATTGCCTCCCACACACAATTTGGTATTACAGAGTTAATCACCCATACAAATCACCTGAAGGAGGGAAACAGCTCAGAGCAACCTAATTCTCAGAACTTACATTTCTGTGAGCATCAGCATGACTGACCAAATCAAACAAAAATCTTTTGTCTCAGCATTTCTATCTGCAGAAAAAAGCAACAGCATCTAACAGGGCAGGCCAGGGAATCAGCAGGCACCAGTCAGCTTCATAAACAACTTACCTAAGTGGAAAATGCAAATCTCACTCACCAAAACAATACTGAATACCTCAAGCAATTTGCAAAAGGACAATCTAGCTCCCAAATGACCTGAAATGTTCTAAGTGAACAACACTGCAGAAATCAGCACAGCAGCTCACCTCTTTACCTGCTTTTGTTAAACCACGGACTGTATGTGGATCAGAAAAACTTCCTTTTATGTTGAAATATTTCACCTTCCTGTTTAGAAGAAAACAGCATCAGCGATGCACACTTAACAAGAATAGGTATGAAATACAATCAGCTATTTTTTCAGTATTTAAGTGCAAAAAAGGGTAGCAAACAGGCATAGAGCTGTAAAAGGAAGGAATCTCATTTCATAGAACTGTTTGCAGCTCTATCATAATTTGTTGCTGAATTCTTGTGTCACACTTAACTCCTCTATACAGAAAAGTAACTAACTCTGTAACAAACTTTGAGATCAGGTTATTGACCTCTTCAAAAAAGACATTTTCTATTAGCCATAGCATTACTAGCATTATCTACAGCATTTTGGATATCATAGTGATTTGAGAACACACCAAACTGACTCTGCAGGAGTAACAAGACTAGACTCTGTTAAATTTTCTATTAATATAATTTCTCTATAAAAGGATCTGCATGCTGAAAAACTTGAAATCATTCCTGCACTGAAAACAACAAAAAAATCTGGTCTAGCATAGTGTTAGCTGTGGGTTTGTAAGGCACAGAAATTTTGGGGGACGAGATCAAAGGTATCTTAAGAAACCTTGACTGCTTCATATTAATACAACACCTCTCCAGACTAAAGAGAGCATCACCTACAATGCTAGAAAGCTTTTGTGTATGGTCAGTGTCAACCACTATTTCACCAAAAAAGAAAATGGGAGAGGAAGAAACCACTTAGATTGACAAGGGCACTTACAGACCCCAGCAGAAAGGACTTACAAACTCAAAATACTAGCTCTAGGTCAAAACTTCAAAAGTAATTCTATAGGGGCAAGAGCACCTCCTTGACTGTGGGAAGAAAGATGAACTTTAAAGTCTTATTTACTTTTCTTGTAGTTGCACTCTGTGTCCCCAGTTCAAGGATTTCACATAATTCTGAACACCCTGTGCCATCACAGACCTGTCATAAAACAAGAAACTGAACATGAAGTCATCACATTACAAATTCAGGTTATGCACCACAAATATATGGGCAATTGCTGAAAATGAGGAATGAACCACAGTATTTTTTGTTGTAAAAGCTAGTTATCAAGTCCACATCAACATAATTTCTGTCCCAAGAACCCAGTAGTTCTGTTTTTTAAACAAGTACCAGACTAAAATTTCACATGCAAAATTCACTTCCCTAACTGTCACATAACTGGGAAAATGTTATTGCTATGCGTTTGCAGCACACAGGAGTAGAGATGGGCAACAGTCTTTACCAGGTGTGATGAACAGGTTGGGATATATTCCAGCCATAGTGTTGGGCATCTTTAAGGGCACTCCCTAAAAGGGCTGCTTGATGCATAAGCTTTTTAGGAATGCAGCCAACATTCACACAAGTTCCACCAAGTCCCCACGTGGTTCCTTGGAAAAAAAAAAAAAGAAAAAGAAAAAGTAAATACATCAGTTTAGTGTAACAATGCAGTTGGGTACATGTGAGGTAAAAAGTTCCGTAAGACACAGTTTGCTGTTTCCTACAGATCAGTTTCTAATTTTCTTCATGCTCATTTGTTTGATACAAACCATCTCTGTATATTTTTCTTCTAAAATTCAAACTATCTTAAGATTTTTCTCAGAGCTCAGAAGATTCAGTAACTAAATACGTTTGCAGATCTTATTTTATGCATGGTACATGAGGAGCCTGAACATGACATAATTTGTAATTTTTAGAAATTGTAAATAACATTTTGACAGAGGGAATATTCTCACTTTAAAGTCTAAAGTCTACTATAAATGGTGGCATCAAGCACTGCTAACAAGCTTAATGTGCAGGGGAACAGGCACAGCTGGTTCATCTTAGAGAGAAGGAGCCATGGCACAAGCTGGGCTTAAGGACTTTTGCTCCAAGCACAGCAAGCAGTGTGGCTTTAGGCACTGCTGTCTTGAGCAACCTGCTCACCTGAGCAACTGAATCATATGCATTTTCAATTATTACCCTGCTATTTCTCTGCCATACCTTGTAGGGAAGGTTCAACATAATCCAGAACAGCCACTTTTCTTCCAAACTGAGCAGCTTTAAACAAAGAAGCAAAGTAAGGTATTTAGAGGAAGGAGAAATACACAAACATTTTTAGTAGCACATATACAGATAAAATACAGGAGATGACAGCTGGTGTTTTTTCCTGTCTAACTCAAGATACCAGACCAGGGACCCAACCTGCCTATGTCATCAGCAAATTCTCTGGAAGATGCTTAATAACCCAGACTGGGGCCTCCAGCTTCCACTGACCCTAAAAATGCAATTTGACCTCAAATGAGATGTTTAAGAACACTGTGGGTTGTCAAACATGTTACCCTGAGATACAAAGGGGCAAGGCTCTCTACAGCAGTTAGTTCTTGGAAACAGTCAGTCTGAATGGTATTTAAAAAAATACAGTATCTATGGAGGTACTCTGAATACTTTTACAACAGCGAAATGAAAGCTTATTAGTTTTTCCTGTAACAAAAGTAGAAATATTTTTTAAAAGGTTAAGAGGAAAACCAAACAAGATCCCATCACCTGAGGGTGTGAATCAAATTTCAGATTAACCGTATGGAACAAAGTTAATGATTAATGTGCTGGAGCATACGATGCTTCTTAAAATGCTTCAAGATTATCAGTAACACTTCCCTTAGTTTCCTTATACCCCACTGAAGTTAACCCAAAACTTCTATTAGTTATTTATGCATACAAACCTTCCTTTGCACAAGCAAGGCCTCCAGACCCTCCGCCAATGACCAGAAGATCATACTCATTCTTTCCTGTGAAGACGACGTGAAAAAAAGAAGAAACAGACCAGGAAGATGGGAGAGGTATGTAAGGACAGTATCCGAGTACACCTATTTTTACAATTGATTATTGCTGATTTGGGTTTTCCTCACTTTACTCTAGCCCTGTGGTTTATTCATTAAGCTATCTACTCTGATTTTGTAAATTAAATAAAGCACTGCAAACGAAGTGAGAAAATAGATTAAATTTTTGCACAGTCCTGGAGGCTCATAATTAATGCAACTGAGATCCAGTACAGGTCTTTGTCTCGGCATTGCAGCAGCAAGTTCCACACAGATATTTTTACGCGGGATCATCCTCTCGGACTCAAAGCTTTGTATGCCGCGTGTGCCTTGCCGGGGCGTGGGGTGCGCTCAGAGGGAAGCTGGCCCCTGCTGCCACCTCGGCCTCAGCACAGACCGGCCCCGGCACAGACCGGCCCCGGCTCCCGGCGCGGTGTGAGGCAGCGGGAGCAGCCGCAGGTGAGCGATGACTCCTTCTAGTGAGGGCACAGGGTCGCTGCTGCTTTCGGAGCTGTCACGGGCAAGGCGGGCACCGAGCCCACGCAGCATCCGAGCCCGAGCTGGGGAGGCTTTGCCTGGCAGCGCCGAGCGGGCTGGGAGGGCCGCTACCCCTTGGCCCTAATTGCGCACCAAAGGTTTGGCTGCCCCTGGGGCAGCTTCAGCCCCGCTGCGGAGCCCCGACCCCGCTGCACCGTCCCCTGAACCCAGGGCTCCCTCAGCGCCCAGGATGGGCTCCGCAGGAGCACCGGGCACAGCGGTGGCTGCCAGAGCCCTCACGGACGGAGGCGGCCGCCACCCGCCCCGCCTCGGGGTAGAGCGGAGAGGAGGCCCGGTCCCCACAGCAGCCGCTCGAGTCCGGCATCTGCGGGTTGTGGGAAAGGCTCGGGGGACCTTCCCCGGGAGTTGTGGGCGTCGGAAAGCGCGGGCAGTCGCTTCCCACGGGGAGCGACGAAGGCGCGGCCGCTGCCGGGCCCGAGCCCCGCGGGTACCGCGTACCTGAGAGCGCTCGAAGCGTACGGCACAGCCCCGACGCTGCCGGGGGACGCGGCCGCCGCCACAGCGCCGCCATGCTGTACGGCACAGGGCCCCGCGCCCGCCAGGACCCTGCGGGGTGGCCGCGCAGCGCCTGAGCGGAGGGGCCCCGTGGGGTCCGCGCGGGAGCCGCCTGAGGGGAGCGCTCGGCGCCCAGTCCTCACGGGGCTGCAGGAGGCGGGCACAGGCTCTGGTGAATCGCACACAGCGGCACAGAATCATTAGGGTTGGAAGACCTCCTGAACAAAGCAGGGCCACTTAGAGCCGGTGGAATGGTGGTTTGAAATGTCTCCAGAGAGGAAGACAGCACGACCTCCCTGGGCAGCTGTTCCAGTGCTCTGCCACCGCCAACATAAAGCTCTTCCTCATTCAGAGCTGCTGGCGTGGCCCTCACTGAAGCTCGGTACTCACCCTGCCTGCTGCTGTAGGTAGTGGGTGAGACGTTAAATACCGTCACAGCCAAACCAGAGTTTGGGACAAGAGAATCAGATGCTGTTTCTACAGAAAATAAGGTTTTATGTAGTCGTGGTTCAGGCTCTGGAGCGGGGGCCGCGCTCACAAGGGGGCAGCATCCAACCATTTTGTTTCAGAAGACATTAATCCTCTGGGCCACAGCTGAGGTGAAGTGGCAGGAAATTAAAATACTCGAAAGAAAATTTTAGAGAATTCAGTTCACCTCTAGTGTAGTTATTTTTGTTCACCTCGTTAATGTTTGAAAATACATGAAACAGGAATTACTGTCACTTTGGTAAGTGGATTGATGACTTTTTTTCCAGCATCATTGCTATTAAGCTCCCCCCACACCCCCAAATACAAAAAAAAAATAGGCAAACCCCCTGTTATCACTGGAAATACTATTACTCACTGCAACAGCAGTAGAAAGAAATGCCTAGAGCATACTCAGAGGCCTTTGAATTAAAGAAACCTCGAGTATATTCAGATATAATCTTTTATGCTTTTCAAGGTACATGCATGCAAAGTTGTTTCTGCTTTTCATGTTAGCCACTATTCTGAGTTGGATCAGGCAGTGCTGAGCATGTGCTCTTCTCACAGATTTTGTTCAGACATGTAGGATCAAGGGTAGAATTAACTCTCCCCAAACACAAAACAAGTTTATGTGAGGAGATGTCCCTGCAGCATTTTGGTGTTCTGCTAATAAGGAAAGGCCTTAAATGTGGCAAAGCTAAATGAAACTAAATTGAACCAAATGAAAGGAAGGTGGGGGTCAGTTTCTTCTGCTGTGTCTCAAGTGAAAGGATGAATGAGAATGAGAGGAAATGACTTTGAAATGCTAAGGGAGGTTCATATTAGAAAATACAGCTGGTGTGACTGTGTGATGCTGGGGTGTCCCCAGCCCTGTGGCTGTATCCCACAGCTCGGGATAAAGCACAGTGCAGTTTGTCAGGCTTTCCCATCACGACCGCCAGTTTCAGAAGAAAGTCCAGTCTGTGCTGTGCCATTCCACTTTCTCTTGCTCATTCTCACAGGCTTGATCCTTGAGAGCGATAGAGACAAACAGCAGCAACAAGTGGGTTGTGCTGATGGTGACAGTATCAGTAAGAGCAGCAGCCCCTGGTATTTCCTTCTGTCAGCACTGAGCAGGTGTGTCTGTGCTGCACTTCAAAGCTCTTTTACCGCAGACAGATACTGGTTATCAAAAGTGGTTTTTACTGTATCTTTGGCTCAGCTCATATGGCTTTCTACTCTTAATGCTTTTGTGGTTAGCATTATGTTGATTAGATAATTAGTGATACACATTTTTATGTATATATTATATCTTAATTCCTTTTAAGAAAACAAGTATTAAGTCCTTTAGCAGCAAATAAGGAATCATTTAGATAAAGCCTTGTGTATGCAGTGAAAGCATATACTTCCAAAACTGAGATTAAAAAAACTTCTTCCAATATAGCTTTCAGACTTAACATCATATTTCCACTGAATTTTGTCAGTTGTAGCTAGTCATATTTAAAGTCATAAATTAACTTATACATTAGTTGTGGTTTGGTTTATTTCCAGGGGGAAATGTTTATTCAATATACTTTAAAAAATGTGGTATTAAAAGGATAAAGGAGACACTCTGTATCGGAAACGTACATAAATCCATTCAACAGGAAAAGGTGCTTTGTAAGTTGTGAATTGGTTTTGCTAGCAGGCAAACTCTCTCCTTTTGAATTTATTGTAAAGACAGCTTGCAATTCTGTATGTTGTTTCCTTTGTAGGAAATACATTTTATTACGTTTATCAAGGGCTTAGTTAAATTCTCCCTCATGAAGATGACCAAGACCAAATACTTTTTCTACCAAACCTTTTAGAAATTTTGACTTTTCAAGCACATCTTCTTTGTCTTTCCTGTTTTTCTGGTGTAGTTTCCTCCATGTCTTACATTCCCAGATCAGCAACCAGGGAGGCTGGGGGGAAGAAGAGAGGTGTCAGGTAGATACTGTCTTTGGAAGTCATCACTTTGTGTCCTTTTTAGTGGGTGGAGTGGGAAATCAGTTCTCTCAGAGGTTGCATTTTGTGGCGTGACCTAATGAATAATTTACAGAAGTGTCAGTGAACGCTGCTGGATCACTGGTTGAACTAAGCTGTCTCCGCATCAGGTAGGACCTTTTTGTTTCTTACCATCTCTCTCTTTTAAAGATTATTTAAGAGTTATTTTCAGAAATTTGTCTCAGAGTAGGACTCATTCAGAATTTAATCTATGCTGTTTTATTCCTTCCTTCCTTAACATAGATAGAAATTCTGTTCATAGTTTGTCCTGAACAAGTAATTGATTGCAAGTAAGGGAAAAAAAACCCTGCACAAACAGATGAAGCTTCAAGTAACACAAGTTCTTGGCTTCATTCAAATGCTTCATCACATATTGCCAAAAAACGTGAGGGTAGAAAAGAGAGAAATGTGTTAGACTTAACTGCTTCAAAGTTTTTGTGAGGAGTTATAAAGTCTTTGAAAGCTGAAAGGTTTTTTCCATCTGCCTGATAACCTTTTAAGAAGCACTGTAAACAGTCTAACTGCTTGTATTATCTGTTCAAATTTAGAGTACGACTTTTAGAGTACAACCTTTCTTCTCTTTTAGCTGTTTCCTATTTTAGATAACGCCAGGCAGTTTCCTGATTCAGACATGAGTGGTGTTTCCTTTCCTCAAAATTCCTCTTTTGCGTGTTTCTCAGCAAGAGAGACTAATTTTACTGTGGAAAACAGCAGATTCTCATAAAAGAAAATCCCTCCTGCTATTCTGAAAATGCAAGCTCAAAAGAATTTTTTTCCACTCAGTGTTTCACATGATCTGTGGGGTTTATGATAATGTGCTAGCTCTCCTGTCTCCCTTTGTTTCGGCTTTTAAAAACCAGTCTTTGTCCGGGATTATTAGAAGAAGGGAATGCCATTTGTTGTTATGCCAGGCATGGATTTAGGGGGAAAAGCTCTAGCTCCGTGCTATGCACAGCAAGTGGGAATGGCCCCGCCACGCTGTGTCATGTGATTGCAGCTGGGGGCTCTGTCCAGGAGCAAGTCTGCTCAAGTTTGTGCAGCCAGATCAGAGCTAAAGTGGCAACTGTCAGGGTGAGTCAGCCTGAACCAGCCAGTTATCCTGAGCTGCTGCCATTCATGTGATGTTGCTCCCAGGCTAATACATCCTGGTTCTACACCTTCCCACACATGTGCCCTGTGAATCTAGTTCCTCATAGATATTCTGAAGTACCAAACCTGTCTTTTAAGATCTTGGCCCTACTTAAAAATTGTATTACACCAATACATTTGTAGCTGTCTGCAGTTCTCTAACCTGGATGCATTAATATCAGGGCAGATTTTTACTGCCTAGACAAGGGTAAGTCATATGGATAATATATAAATTTATGCACTGTGGAGATGGTTGCATTGTTAGTACATTAGTAAAAACTTGCAAAAATATCCATACTTATATAAGAACATGTGTTGGGCAAACTGGTAAATTAAAGAGAGGCATAAACCAATGTCTATCAGGCTACCAAAGAAACTTCTCTTGGGGAAGAAAATACCCCCATAACATATTACAAGATTTCAACTTTCTATTAACTTGAAAGCAATTTATGGACATTATCACACAGTTTGGTGGCTTAACCAACTGAACCTCCAGCTTTATCTAATTTGCAGTTACTGCCATTTGTTGGGAACGACGGGAGACAAGCACATCCGATGATGATCAGCAAGTCTCAATTTATTGATCAGAAGGCTACAGTTATATAGACACGATAATAAGGCTCATACATATTGCAAAAGCTAAGCTCATCATTGGTTTTGTGCTCTGGCCTTGCTAAAAGTCATCCCTGCACATATTGCTACATACTCTGGATGGCTGGGGTCTCTCCACTGTAACAGCTAGTTCTTGTTTTGACAAAAGCTAATTCTTATTTTGACACCCCGTGATTGCCTTGCTCCTTGCTCAAAGGCACAATGTTCTTGCCCAAGGCCTTATTTCCTGACTAGTGGAATCTCATCATGTCCTTTCTTATGTAGCCAATCCTCCACAAAACTCTCCACAGCCATTCACTATTTTTACTTATGTAATGAAATGTGTAGACAGCAGCAAGGGTTACTTGCAGGCATAGCTTTTATCACACAAGTAAACAGCTGTGGGCAGGCAGAAGTTTGCTCCTCCCATGCTTGAGCCTGAAGAATATAATTCAGCTCCAAGTTAGAAGACTTTTATAAGTGTTGTTATGGGATGTTGCTCAATCTAGGAAGTCTTGGCACTAAATTATGCTGCTAAGCAGAAGCTGGGCTGACACCACCCACAACTAGCTGTAGTTAATTGCAAGAACTTCTCCAAAGAGCAGCTGTATACTTAAACAAGGTCAGTGCTTAGAGTAAGTTTTACTGTTTTAAAGTCTTTTCTCCACAGCCCAGAAGTAAAAAAAAAAAAAATTCTCTGCTAATTTGAACTGTGGGAGGCATCAGGGATCGTGCTGACACAACCAGCTTTTGACCAGAAAGGAAATTACTGCCAGTGAAGCTAGACTGCAGTATTGCTTACTTCATTCTTTGTTGTGCTTGGTGTCTGGATTATAAGAAAATATTTGTAGAGCTAAAGCTCTGTTATATATGGAAGGGATAGTTCAAAGTTATTCTTATTGACACTGGGGACTGTGCTATATTGCAGGGTTTTAGTTATGTTTTGCTTTAGAGCTACTAGAAACACTTCAATCTTCACTCACCTACTTTTCCCCACAATTCTTTATTCAATTAATCTGCTTAAAATTTTTGGTTTTCTCTTGTCATGCTCTTAGGTGGTCCCTAATTCTTTCAAGGACCTCCCCTACACTTGACAAAGCCTGAAGTTCTCAGAACTTCAGCTCCTTTTTCTGCCACATTTGGTACATTCTTTAAGTCTTTAAAAAGTTCCTAGGCTTGAGCTTGAAACACTTTCTGACTAAGTCTGAGTTTTGCAGTGAAAATGCAGGAGAGAACTATTACCATATTGTGTTTGGTTTTTCTGTTTTTGTTCTTTCTTCGATGGTGCAATTTAATTGCAGCTGGATTATACTGTTCCCACCTCGAAGGAAACAGTGTAGATAGATAAGCTGAGAAGGTGGTTTGTTAGAATAAGCCACCTCTTTTATCTTAGAGCTGTTTGTAGCACAATGTTTTTCCAACTAGAAGCCACAGAAATTCAAACGTGCTATTTATAATATATTGATTGCAGCTCCTCCTGTAGTTGCTATTAAGCCATTTGCTGTCCATACCTCGCCTGCCTCCAGCAGCACTCTATATTTAACCCGCATGCCTAGGTCTCGTTCCTACCAATTCTGCTCTGGCTGTAGCATGCCACGTCTGAGCTGAAGAAAGAATTAAATCCCTTGGGCCAAATTCGTTCCTGAAGTTGCTTGATTGAACACATTGCATTTACACTGAGCACAGATTTGGCTCATACCTGACTTTGTCAGCATTCACTGTGCTGTAACTAAGTAACAAGAGCACTGTCGTTAGGGGACAGATGAATAGCTTTCTCTACGGTTATTAGAGCACCGAGCACCTTTAAGGAGTGCAGAATCAGTGAAAGGAGGAGTTGGAGAAAAGGACACCGCTCCTTTTAGAGTCTGTGTAACAGAACTGATAAGCTATTCCTGTGATGTGATCGAATGTGACTGACTACTGCAGGCTCTTGGACTCTTATTCTGTAAAATCCACAGGAAAGCAGCACAGGAAAAGATCGGAGCGAACAGCTTCTGCTATACTAAGAAAGGTACATGTTTATGTTTTCTTATTTGTCAGGCTCGACATGATGTGTTGTCTTAGATAATGTCACTATTTTAAACAGTGGTGCTTATGAAAGAAGTGGTGTTTTCCACATTCTGACTGGACTCATTGTCAAGAAGCCAGTCCGTGGGCAGCAACAGCTTTCACAGAGAAAGAGTAGGACATATTTGTGTGTAATGCATTTGTACTGTATTGTAAATCTTGACAGCTGAAAGAACTGAGATGAGATAACCCTGACTAAATTGAAAATTTAATTTATGGCTATAAGTATGCTGGAATTTTGTATTCATTTGTATTCAAGAAAAAGCTGAATACAAGTCAAGCTTCAGTTCAGTCACATTTGGCTGAATAGCTGCTTTTATAAGTGTTTTGCTGCAGATGTATTTTATGGAGGTTTTAATTCTCAAGAGGGAGTTCTGCTAGTGTAAAATATCTCTGAAAAAGAGACAAAAAAGTGCGTACTTTTACTTTTGTATTTTACAAAATGTACTTTTGTATTTTAGTACTTTTGTTGGCCCTGTTGGTGCTTATAGAGTATCCTTCTGAAGCCCATAATTGATATTTTTTACTTTCTGTCCTTTACAAACAAACTCAGATTTTCCAATACTGCCAACCACGTCATAGTGATGAACTCTGTAAACAACCTTTACTTCGTCTCTGCACTTCTACTTACTCAGTCATGGACTTCTCCAGCAAAGCCCTCAGGTTCAGAACCACATGCATTTGCACAGCTTTGCAGTATTGAAATACGGCAGAAAAACTTCCTGATTTACAGCTTTAGTTTCCATTAATGAAAAAAGAATTTGGTCACATTAACAGTGCAAGCAACTTACTTGTCACTCAAGTTCAGCGATATTTCTCAGCACTCTGGTACCCAGTTTACATCTGCCAGTCTCATACTGTTGTCTTTCAGCATTCCTTCAGGATCACTGGAATTAAAAGTGACTGGAAATTTTTTGAAAAAACATAATTTTGGCCGCAGTCCTTGAAAACAGATCTTAATGTGTGAGGCTATTGTAAAGCTCTCTCAGAAAGCAATTTCTAGCCAGAGACCCTCTATGCCCTCTCCAGGCACTTTTCTGGGGAGAGCTTTCACTCAGGATTTGAAACCAATCCCTACCGTGCTCTATCTCAGGCTCCCCCTTCCCACACAGTGTTTGGTTACCTGCTGTGCTGTGGTGAATCCCATCTTGCCTGGCGTGTTAGAGTTGTTAGTTTTCATAGAAATAACTCATCATTTCAGCAGAGATTTCCTTCCTAATCCTTCAAATCCCTCAGTGGGTGTCCTCGCTACCAAGTTTCAGTTGTGCACTCCGCCCAGCTTGAAGAGCACCCTGTGGACAGCAGAAAGCTGTGCTGGGAGAAAGACAGATTTACAGTAGATTAGCTGGTAGCCTTGGAAGCAGGGCAGGAGCATGCAGCAGGGATTTGGGACACTAAGGATTCAGCCCTGTGATATAAGGAAGAGACTGTGAAGTAAGTCTGTCCTGACGACAATTATTCATTTTGGTCTTTCCTCTTCCAGCTCTTTCTCCCTACCTGTATTTGGGCCAAAGTCATTCAATAAGAGCTCGATTTTACCTCCTGGGGAATATGAAAATCTCAGCTTAGAAAACTTTTCACAGACCAGCTCCTAGTGTGCTGTCAGGGCAGAGCACTTTCTGCTTTTATCAGTCCACTGCCTCCCTGGTAGGATTTGTACAGTTCTGCTGAGCCACCCTAACCACTGGTTTTAAACACTGGTACAAATAGTACAAATACATCTGGGAGTGCTCCAGTAGGATTAAGGACTATCAGAAACAAGCATTTCCTGGGGTGCCTGAAAGGGTCTTATTCCTGAAAAGCTGTATTTGCTTAAGGCCTGGTAAAGTGAATTTCTTATCCTTGAAGAATTCTCTCACCTCATACTCTGGCTTTAGTAATGCAGTGTGTTCACTAGGTCAGTCTGGATTAGATTGCTGCAAATTCCCATGGACCTGCTTGTTGGATGGAGATGAGGCCTCTCTGTGTGGCCAGTTCATTCTAAACACTGCACTTCTTTATGGGGCACAAAACCATTATATAAACCTTCTGCTTTGGGTAATAGCACTGAATACCATCTAGAGAATGGCTACTGGGAAGGGAGTTTTAAGTGGGTAGCAATTATCCTAATTGAAATCGATGTGGGGAGAATGGATTTAAACACCCTTATGAAGCTTATTTGATGGGACTCTTAAGTAGGCAATAGGCACTTTTCTGTTCTTTTCCTTTCATTCAGGAAGAAGAAACTTGTATTTGTTTTCGTTCAAACTGAGAAGAGGGAAGAAGACAAGACAAAAGGCTATGGGGGCAGAAAATAATCATCAGAACTTTGCATTTATAGAAGACAAAAATTTTTGTATTCATGGCAGTGAAGCTAAATTATAGTAATTAAAAAAAAAAAACTGAGAGTAAAATCTAGATTTCAGGCAAGAAATAGTAAAAAATTATATAAAGTCTGTTCAGATTGCTTTCATGATGTCAGTGGAAAATTTGAATGTCAAACTCCCAGACAAAGTTTCCATTGAATTACAAGCTATTCACATTTGGCAATATGATGATGATAATGATTCTTCACAGAACAGTTGCACTCACTTGAAAATACATAAACAGTAACGAAAGAATAGAAGGTAAAAAGATATTTTTTGACCTTTAAATGTACTAAATTACGATGCTGTTGAATTGTGTTGCCTACAGCAACAGGATACAATACGTTTGGCAGAAGTTAGTTTAGACTTTCTGACCAAAACACTGCCTTTCTTGCTCTGGGAAAACATCAAGAAAAACAAAATACCACAAAAGAGAGATTGCCTCATTCGAGACAGCATAGAACTAAGAGTCAGAAACACCAGTCCCAGCACAGCACAGATCTCTGGCCTAGTGCAGGACATTGTTAAAACATGTGTAGAAATGTGCTGACTCTTCTGCATTGTTTTCACAATGTTTGTGAGGCATTAGCTGTTTATGAACAGCTAATATATCCTTACTAGTGTGCAAATCCTCTGCATCCTTCAGTGCATTAGTGTCTAAAGGCATAATTTCAGCAGAAGCTGAAAAAGGTTGAATGATATAAACTTATCAAGTGCTTCCCCATTCACCAGGTTATGTGAGTTAATAAAGTCAAAATTAGATTCTAAACCCTTTAGCACCAGAATGCTAAAGTACTGTCTGGATGCGTGGAGACTTGTAATGAACTCTCAACCAACCAGTACTTGGCAGTTAGATTAAATGCATGAAAAATTATAGCGAGACTGGATGTACCATCCTTCCTCAAAGGCCTGAATTGTCAGCTGGCTGAAAGCCCTTTAGGAAAGCATTTAAAGCACTGCTTGTCTCCACATTTTCCCAGTTGTTCATAAACTCAAGAATAATAATGTCACATAGGCATTTGCTGTGCAGACAAAACTACTTTGCCTTTCCTCAGGTGTTATCCATACATTCATAGCAGGGACTTTTCTGAAAAAGATTAATTCAGCTTTACAATGCCTTGACAGTTTACACACATAACAGTAACTTTAACTCTTGTGGCAACGCAGAGGAAGATAAGATAGCTCATCCAAGACCCGAGCAGAAAAACGTTGCCAAAATGAGACTCATAGCAAGTCCCTTGGCTCAGGGTCACAAAGTTCGTTCTCATTCCAGCCCTGGAGAACAGCAGACAACTGTTTGTCTTTGTACAAAAGGGTGGGGTTTTTTGGGATAATGTTTAAGACTTAATTTCCAGTACAAAGCAAAGCAGTATCAGTTTATCCAAGCTAAAACTGTAATGAGAGGCTCTGTAATTAGACTTAGAAGGATTCATCTTGATTAGAAAAATGTTCTATCCAGCAGTTTTCCACCTCACAAGTATTTCAGTATCTGTCATCTCTTATTTTTGCATCTTAGGAAATTACTCAAAATGTAGTCAACTGAGCTTCAGAATAGTTAAATAGTCAAATTTGATACTTTAATCCACTGAGTGTGAATCTCACTAGGGTGTATGCTTTTGTTAAAACTTAGACCATTTAAAGATGCTTACTTTTACATGCTTATTTTTCTTCTCAGTAAACATCAGCTTTTTGCAGAGGGATGTTGGTTTGGAATCAGAGAAACAGTTGCAATCAGTAGTTTACATCACATTTCCATACACCTTCCTCTAACAGTGTCATGAAATCTTTGTACAGTTTTTATGAAACACTGAAAAAGATCTCACTTCAATCTGGTTACTCAGACTTACCTTAAAAATTGATGTTACCAATTGTTCTAATCCTTATTTTTCACATCAGGGAATTCTAAGAGCAATTATTTTTTAGCAGAGGTTGGAAAAATGTACCAGAATAATTGATAAATAGCATTACTGAAAAATCCTTACTGTAACTTTTGGTGAAATGGCCAGAATCAGCTGCATGAAAATAAAGAACAGGATGTATTGGTTTGGGCTCCACCACATGGGCATTTTTATGATTTTAGAAAAGCTGAAGATCACATGATAGTAAGGGGATATTGAATCCCCTAACTTAACATCTGTTGGCATAATAGCAGATCCCTAAGTCTGAGCTAGTCTCTTGATGTTTCTTTCATAGCCATTGGAATGACTTAGGTGTTTCATCTCCACAGGCAGGTAAGTTGGGGCAGCAAATTTCCCACAATTTGTGTCTGCTTCTCTCTTTGAAAATGTCTTTTTAAATCTCTAAGCTGAAACAGAGGTACTCCCATTCAAATGCTGATTGTTTGATTATGGTGTGCATCAGGGGGAAAACTGCTGAGCTGCATTATCAAGTTATGATTTGGTCTTATGAAACCTGCCAAAATGAGTAAGATTAGATGCATAAGAAAATAACTCAGTGCTTTAGAAAGACTCATCAGTAGTTTGACGGGTTTGGACATGAAATTTTAATATGTTTTCTTTTAAACTCTGTCTTCTCAAAAACAGATGTACTGATATGTGTTATTCATTCTTTCCCATAATGTTGTCCCTCCAGTTTTCTGTTTATTCCCTTGCTAGATTTTTCATTTGCCTACTATTTTCCACTTCAAATTTTAGCTTTCAAAGAGAAGGCTCCTTTTATTACCGTGTTTCTAAAGCACCGAAGAGGTTGCAGTGCTGACCTGTGTATTTGGAACCTCAGTATAAGCATTAAATACTAAGAGTGGCTGCCTTGTAATAAGCGGTTATGGGAAACTTGACTGTATGCAAGTTCAGTTTTATTGCATACTTAATGAATCTCATGAATCCACATTAAAGCTAAAATTACTGTTGCATTTTCTAAAGCTGTCATAACATGACTGTCTCCTAGGTAGTGGTATTTTTAAATTGGTTGAATTACACACTTAATTTTCATATCAAATATTTTCCAGCTAAGAATATGAAAGCAATTACCTATTTTGGTACAGATCTTTTTTCCCTCTGGGTGCATGACCATCACCAATGTCTCTTGCTCTTGGCAGACTGCCTTTACAGTCTACTGCTGTCAGTAAATTTATTTTCACGCCTAAGAAGACAGAAATTAAGAGGGACAAACTTTGAAAAAAAACTATTAAAAAAAAAAAAAAAAGAGAAGAAAACCAAGATGTGTCTGTTTCTCTCTTTTTAGAAGGTACCTTCTCTGGAAAGTGGTTTTCAGGATAATTACCTCCTGAAAGAGTTCTGCTAAGGACAACCCATAGTGCCAGTTTATGAGGGTGCTGGGGTGTTAAACAGAAATATTAATAATAAAAAAACAGTAGTTGAAAAACATTCCTTGATACCTCAGAAGTAAGTGAACTCATCTAGGAATGGAAAAATCAGCATGTACTCTGTAGGTTGTTTCTACCTGTGAGCAAACTCTGGGGAGGCAGAGTGGGCTCTGCTCTTACGTGTGGTACCTCTTATGTGTGGTAGCATTCATGTGGGATTCAAGTGCAAAGATCTGAGGTACTGTAAAAAATAGATGCCTCTGAGTATTTGATTCAGACAGTCTGAAAAAGAAATCTCAGCATTCCTGCAGGACAGGGAGGGGGGCCGAGTTCACCTATAGAGGTTTTCTCTCCCTGTTTTGAGAAATCTCATTGTCTCGTTATCAATGCTAAGAAATAAAGGAAGAAAGCTGTTCCCTCAAAAATACACTGCCTTGTTCATCCTGCTCCTCCCATCCACTCCTGTTGTCTGACAGATCTTTGAAGGGCAGCCCCAAACATGCCAGCAGGATCTCATAGTGCTGAAGCAACAGCCTGTGGCAAGGTCTGCTCAGACAGTGCCCAAGTATCCATTGTACGCAGAGGATTATGTGTGGCAGTGGTCTGCAGTAATTCTGAGTGCCAGCAGTCTTCAGTCCTGTGGCTGGACTGCAGGCACCGAGCGAGTCACGGGTGTGCAGGGGCACAGGTTCACATGTCCAGAGGCAGGAAGGTTAGAGACCTGCTGGCCTCAGGAAGTGTTTTCTGGGGTCCATCCATTCACTGGGGTTCAGAATAATTCTCTCTCACCTGTGTCAGTAATCCAAATCCATCAACAAAGACTATACAATCAACTAAGCCACGAAAGTCAAGTGAAGCTAGTGAGGTATTTTATGTTAAACTAATGATCTTTTCGCAGCCCTATTGAAGTTCTCAGTTGACAGATAATGTCAAACATTTTCATGTAGAAAAACTAAAAAAAAACCTGTCTGAAAGGTGCAGGACAATTGGGCCTGGTCAGTAGAACTACTACTGCAGAGGGGGAATGAAGAAAAATTGACATCCATTCATGATCCTTTTGGAGTAATGAAGCAGACTCTTATTAGCTAGGAAAAAATATATAGAAGGTCCAAGAAGCAAGATTTTCATGTGCTAATGATGCTGGCAGGCTCTGAAGCAAAACGTCTCAGGTCAGACTTTGCAAGAAAAGCATTAAGGCTAACTGTTAACATTGGTGACTGCTTAAAAGCAAAAGAAATAGACTTTTGACAGCTCCAAACAAATCATACTTGCTCTGCAACTAAGATAAGAGGATGGGTGAACAAAATCAGCTGTACTGTATCTTGAGCATATCTCCATGGAAACTCAGTCATCCTCTGAAGTCAAAATGTGTTCTGCATGATGATTCAAAATTTAAATGGAGGGATAGATTTTCTCCATGTATATATGCCAAGTGCCTATACAGAATGAAGGTCAGACCATCCATAAAAATTAGGCTTTTTCTGGGACAATATTTGGGGAAACAAAAAAGAGAAGCAAGAACAAGTAGGAAGAGATTTGGAGGAATGTTGTTATCTCCTAGAATGTGATAATCCCTTTGTCATTGGTCTTGGGTAGCCTAGGCAAAATTTTTCAGGATGTTGTAGCTCCTATTGGAACTAGAACAGATTTGATGCTGGAAGCTCCTTGTGCAGTGGCATGCTTGGAGCCAGGAGTGAGCAGCTGTGTGGGGGAAGGGACCAGAGCATTAAATAAAGCTACTTGTTGACTGCCTGTAAAATTGGCTTCTAAAGGAAGTGCTACAGAGCACCATCCGTTACCATCAGTGACACAGAGCCTTTTACAGCTACTCTAGACACAATCATTATTAAACTCTGTGTGTTCCTCTTCAGTACAGTTGGTTGTTTGTTGGTTGTGGTTATTTAGCTCAATATTTACAAAAAGGACAGCCCTCTCCTGTGCCACCTTAACCCTGGGCTGTTTTTCCTTTTTCTTCCAGATGCTGGAGAGCTCTTCGGTCCCTTTGTTCATTGTCTTCATCCTGCTTCTCATTTTGCTGATCATTGTGTTGCTCATCAGGAAAAATGGCACTGCTGCCCTTATCTGGAATGAAATAATCCGGGAGAAAGTAACCAATTTCATCATGAATCAGAGCAAAGAACAGAGGATTTTAAATTTTGTGCTGCAGAATGCAGTCCGAGGAGACCCCTGTAGTGTGGTGGACACTATAGATAAATACTGCTCCCAGAAAGAGTGGGCCATGAATGTGGGCAATGAGAAAGGTAATTGCAGCAGGGGTCAGCATCTGAAAAAATCCTTCAAGACTAGCACAGTACAGGACATCTGATTGTATTCACATGGCAACTTCCATGTGCTGCTGCTGCAAAAACCCCAACCCCCACAGCCTTGTGGTCAGCAGAGCAGTTCTGTCAACAGTGGTGCCTGCATGTGCAGATGTTTTTGAGGAGGGGAATCCAGTGACATCCAGAAAGTCACAGCACCAGATGTGGGTTTCTGTGTTGTGCACATTACAAGTGTGTAAGCAGAGCAACTGATGGGAAAAATCTAGGATGGCATTATACCTCACTTTATACACAGAATGCCTTTAAGGCATAATTCATTATGTTTAATACTTTCAGATCCTTAACAATAAGATAGCAAATTGAAAAAAAACCCAAAATTATGCTTAACTATATGAATTTTGTGTCTGCAAGCATAAATTACAAGTTTCTATTGAAGGGAAGAATCCAATCCATGTCATACAGTACACGTCAGGGCATTATTGCTATTTAGCAAGTAAATCATCTTGTTCTAGTCTCCTAAAGAAAAATATGGGAACAAAAACTTTTTTTCATAGCTGCAGGAAAGAAGCAATCTTTTCAAAAAACTATAATGGCAAAATGTTAGTATGTTCCCTTATGAATTGGAAACAAAAGTACCTCTTGCTGGGAAATTTCTGGGGAAATTTGCTTAGTCTGGGATTAACATAGCTAATGAAACACAACTGTAAGCATTGTAATAAAAATGCTCTTCTGACATGGGTACAGTTTATGGAAGTAGCTCCTCAGCATACCTGGCTGGGGTGCTTAGGGCAGAAGAACAGTGGGTCATGGCTGCCTAAGAATACCTAAAGTTCTAAACTTTGAACATTTGTGATTAAATTCTTAATAATTTCACTGTAGTTTTGCTCTGATGGCCTTTCCTCAGATAAGAGCCATTAAAGCCAGTGCATTTTTAGTCCCTGAGATTTCAAGAGCAATTACGTGGCCTCAAGATGCCTCATCATCATACTCATAAATAACACCCAGAAAAATATCCCTTAATAACCATAGATTAGCATAAAATCCCTTCCACCACTTTTTGAGCTTAGTTATCTAGATTCTAGCCATACAAATAAGAGGAAATTTCTCACAAATAAATCTCACAAATAAATCCTTTTCTTCAGAAGGGCTGAATATAGTACACTGTCACTTCTTTTTGGGAACATTTTCTGTTGTTAACAATTGACTAATGTATTCCATCCCCCAAATTCATGCAGTGAAACCAAATATTTTGCAACTTTGTAAGTAGACTTTTCTTTTTTTCCTTTAAAGATGAGTATTTAGAATAATAAATTTTATATCAGACTACAGCATGTAACATTAGCAACAAACATGAGCACTCAAAATCCAGGAGTTATATATTTCACAAATACAGCCAGTTTCTGCAGTAAGTTCTTGGAAAAAATGACTGCATTTCCCCCTTCTAACACTATAAATCAGTAAATTCAGGGAATTACATAATTTATATTCAGGGAATATAAGTTAATTCAGGGAATTCCTTACTCAGAAATGCATATATTGTGAAACTAAGATTTCTTTTAGTTGAAAGTTTGCACTTTAAAACTTAAAATGTCCATGATTAACTTGATCACAAGCCAGTTTGCAAAGGATACAGTATATAATTTGATATGAACTCTTAATTTTTCAGTGTCCTGAGCAACTGAGTATATGGATTTTTTAAGTTTCTTGTCACTAACTTGCTGTTCTGTATATGAACCAGTTTGATTTTGTCAAAAGGTAATCTTTTCCCATTTTAATCAGGTAAAATTCTAGACAAGACAGTGGAAGAGGTCAATCCATCGGTGGCCCTGGAGCTGGGAACGTACTGTGGCTACTCAGCAGTGAGGATTTCTCGGCTGCTGAAGGCTGGAGCTCGTCTGCTCACTGTGGAGTTCAACCCAGAATTTGCTGCTATAGCTAAACAGATGATTGAGTTTGCTGGAGTACAAGATAAGGTAAATACCATTTTGTCTGTAACCACTACAGCAAAACTGGTTAGATTTTCTTTTTTTTTTTTTCTTGTACCCATGGGCCTTATAAATTTCACCAACTCCATGCTTAGTTACAGTGCCTGACCTCTCACAGCAGGATTTCACTACGTTGCTTTCCAAAAGCCAGAGGAATACTGGGTTTCTCAATAAAAAACTAAAAGGTTCAAATTGGTGTCAAGACTGACTAAAAAAAAATGAACCATAGTCCAATTTGTTACAAAAGCTCACAGGAATCAGTTATATTATGTGTAACAGATTTCAAATGAGAAGTATTTACCCAAATCTAGCTGGTCACACTACCCATACCTAAGTTTTGTGCAGTCAGAGGTGTTTTGACTCTCTATAGCTGGTTGAGATGCAGGTGTTTCCAGTCTATATCCCCCAGCATGGGGGATTCATACCTGAGAAGTGCCTTCTATTCAGCAGACATCTTACTTCAGTGGAGCTGGAAACACTGGAGGAAGTAAGTCCTTTCTAAGAAGGGACCTTCTAATGTGTTTCTTAACTTCTTTTCTTCTTCTGAAGTACTAGTGACATCTAAAACTGCATTTCCCTATCTGATTTAATCTCCTAATGAGCTATGAGTCACAAACCAGACATTTCCTTACCACTTTCTTCCTCCTCTCACAGTATATGGTACTTGCCTAACAAAAATCCACATGCAGCAGCTGCTTTCAGTTTACAAGCAATTACTCCAATAAACCTGTAAGGAAGATGTAACAGCTTCTCTCCTGTCTCTTTCCTTTCCTGGCCATATCAATTTTACATAGTGTAGCCTCCATCTTTATTCTAGCCTAACCTGTTCTCTGCATTTTTTGCTTCCCTTGGACTACAAGACTCAACTGAAATGTAACTAAAAAAAAGGTAAAAAAACCCCACTGTTTTCAACAGGAGATTTCCATGCTTCCAGTAAAGACACACATTATACAACAAAAACAACAGGTCACTTTTTCTGTTGTTAATTTAAAAACCAACAAAATCCAAAACACCCGAATTCATATTGTAGAACATAACTGAGTTGGTTTGTCAAAAATAAAAAAGTACATTTGACCTAGCCCTACTAAATAATTCAACTGACACAATATTGAACTATACATGATCCCCCTGATGTCTGGCTACAATTTAAAATGAGCTGGGAGCATGTGATTTTTCTTAATGGTTCACAATTTATCTGATGGATTTGTATTTCAGGTAAAACTCCTAGAAGGCCCTTCAGAGGAAATTATTCCCCAGCTGAAAAAAAAATATGAAGTGGATACTCTGGATTTTGTCTTTCTGGACCACTGGAAAGACAGATACACACCAGACACCATCCTGCTTCAGGTCAGTTTGAACAATTCCAGTCTTAAAAGTAAAGTAGCAAATACCTTCATGTCTGTGAGGCCTCTGTTCTTTAAGAGGGACCTCATCTGATATAAAATGCAGACTGGCAGCCAAAATAGCAGCCTTACAAGAAAAGAGGATTTCAATGACAGGACCCTAAACTTTTGTTAAGGACAACTGCCAGCACGACATAGCTCAGGACTCAGTGAGTACAGCTGAACCATTCTGTTCCCTGAACATACAAGTGTGCAGTAGAAATCCTACTTGGAGGAGTGCATGGCCTGACTTTTACACTCCCTAGGAGTGCCTGCATGGTCACCAATCAGAACACCTGATCCAAAGCCCATCCTGATCCTGGGAGTGGGTGAGACTTGGGACCTGCCTATCCCAGCTCCACCTCTCTAATTTCCTCAGTAGCCCTATTTTCACTTGGGTTTGTGGTTCCAGCAGAGCCTCTTGATGAAATACCATTTTGGTAGCACAAAGTATGACTTGTCTTGGACTCTTTACACTCCAGCTAATTAATTGGCTGCAAAGCAATGTTAAGAAGAGTGCAGACTGCCCTAGCCAGGCACTTCCTAGGGAAATGCTGTCCAACTCTATGTCCAGTCCCAAATGTGGAAAAATTATGCTTATTTCTTCCCAAGCTGCCTTAACCATTACTGTGGGTATTACAAAATAAGCTGGCTGTAACGGCAGTGGCAGAGGACTTCTGGATAGGAAGGTATTTTCAGGTTTTAAATAACTGAGATTGATATCTGACTGATATCTAACTGAGACTGATATCTGTACCTATCAACACAGCACATACAGGTACTCTCCTAACTAATAAAATGTTCTACAACTGCCTGTTTTTGGGAAAGTGCCATTTTCCAATTATTTTCTTCACAAATAAATCCACTGTTTTTCAACCTGCCTCTTAAATTGAGAACCTGCCAAATACTTCCTGATCCCTGCTTGAAGACTACAACACTATTTTCTGACCCAGGACCCCTGTTTTTTTAGTTTTAAGCCCTGTCCTCCAGAAAGCTGTTTGAAAAGGAAATTTGTTTGGGGTTATGAACAGCTAGTATTGAATTTACACAGCAGTAGCTGAAGAAAATGTTCCCTCCCTACAGTTATTTTGTACTCAGAGAATGCTTTCTTTTAAACTGCCTGTGTAAGGATGACTGAGCTCTTCCCACAGTGTATCCTTATCAGAACTCAGCCTTCACAACACAGCCAAAACAAACAGACGGTTTAGTTTCATGGCACTGGTAAGTCTGATGTAACTGTGATACAAAGTTGCAAAAAACTCCTGTAAAATTAAGAGGAGAAAGACAAATAAAAAGTCCTCAGATTTTCTCAGACGTCACAAACTTTCTAAAATGCATTTTCGGCAGGTATTGCAGTATGAATAGTGAATATGAAGTATGAATATATTCAGATGAAATATGTATATATTGGAAGTGGTCCAGACAAAAAAGCCAGACACGAAGAGCATCTGAAATCCCTATGACCAATGGAAAATCCAGTATGTTGTCTCTTGCAGGCTTCTGTAAGCTGTGCAATAGAAACAGACTTGAGGGTATTTGACACGTCTCTAAAAGCATTCCCACTGTGCTGACTGGTGCTCAGTCCCCAGAGGCAAGAGCAGTTAAGCTCAACGGTTTCTGCAGGACACTCATCAACAGAACTGGGAGTGACAAAAAACACCCCATGTTTTGGCTACAGCTACTGCCTGTAACCACAGGATAACAACCAAGCTGATTTAGTTACAGACTTCGTTTTAAAACACCTGGTAAGCCCAGATAAGCAACTTCTAGACAAAAAATACCAGTAAAGATTAAGTTTTTAGGTTTACTGAGCATAAACACTGTACTTGAGGTGACTATTGCAAGTTAGTTATGTCTTGTGGAAATTTCTCAGAGGGATCTTCATTGTGCAAAAACCTTGCTTCATGCCCAGATCCCGAACAGAATGGCAGGAAGTTGTTTAAGATGAAAGGAAAACAAGCACAGAAAATCTTTAATTCTTTTAGTGATTTCAGAGTCTGACTGAGACTGGCCAGAGCAGTACAGTGCTACTCTAAGGTGATGTAAAGAGCTACTACAACAGTTTAATGCCATAATTAAAAAGGTTATAAACATGAGGCATGACAGCCAAAACAAAGCCACCTTATTGATCATGTAGATATAGCTGGAAACAAGCTGAGGAACCAACCACACACTTCCAACTTGATTTGTTATTTCAGAATCAGGATCTCCAATGTTCTACCAATAAACAAAAAAAGTTAGCAAATGACTACAAAGGATCCTAGAGTTACTCAGCTTCTCCCAATCTCTTCAACCTCCCAGATCTGTACCAAAATGGGTTTTTGGATGCAGGCACTTGAATATACCTGGTTAACATGAAAGTACATTACATTCAAACCAATGTCTGCTTAACAGCCACTATGAAGCCATTTCTCTTCTTTCTAGGAATGCAACTTGCTGAGGAAGGGCTCAGTTCTTCTGGCTGACAATGTAATTTTCCCAGGAGCTCCAGATTTCCTTAACTATGTCCGCAAGAACCCCCATTTCCAATGCACTAACTACCCATCTCATCTGGAATATATGCAAGTGGAAGATGCTATGGAGAAGGCTGTGTTTTTGGGATAAAGAGAATAATCAACTTTTGTTTCATATGATGTAAATGCAGAGGTTAATTTGTCCATGCTTTACAGTTTTTTTAATTACTATTATTTTTTATTTTGGAGCCTGTAATTAAAAAGGACCAGTGATGTTTTTAGGCAAGGTAGAAATCAAAATATGGAGTAAGTCAGGTCTGTGCCATTGTTCCACGTTAACGTGGCAAACCCAAGGTGATGCACATTGCCTTGCCTTGACCAACACATCATCAAACAACAGAGTTTGTTATTTTGAGCTCAACTTGAACAACCACAGGTTCAGTTTAGGGTGGAGAAATATACTGCAACTTCCGAAGACTTGTATCCCCCAGCTAAACTCATTAATCATTAACAAGAGTGGGAAAAAAAAAAATCCATGTTGCAAGAAAAGACCATTTCATGTGCTCAGTTTTTGCTGAATTACTAGCACGCCTCTTGATGCAGTGAAGGCTCCTATTGTGAGATCAGATACTTCTTTGCACATTTACTGAAAAGTTAATCATCTCTATATGAGAGAAAAGAGCACACACTGAAAGAAAACAGACCCATGCAGTGATGAGAAAAACAAAACAGAATTTTGAGAACACAAACAAGTAAAATTATTCTGTCCATGCAGAGGCAGGAAAAACTGAAATAGTAAACAGATTAAAATAAACACAGTAACAGATAACAGAAGTGGCAGACTCTTTCCAAAAGAATATAAAACTACGTAATATTCGACCTTGAGAAAATGCTGTTTATCCCCTCATTATTATGTACATGCTTTTTGGGGGCAGGGCAAGCTGCTTACTCTGAAATGCTGGGTATGTTTAAGAGAATGGGTTTTAGCAGGTGGGCCCTGCATGCCCTGGTTAACCTCAGTGCTGTTACACCATGTGAATAGTGTGGGTTGTCATTGAGGATTCAAGGCCAAATATGAAGTCTCTAACTCACCTGAATGATGCAGAAATCCGGTGGCATTTCCTAGCATGTCCTGCTGTGATTATATAAGGCAGCAACAGTCACGTTTATAAATAAAAAATTAAAAACAACAGAGCAGGGGGATGATTTTCATTTTTTCCAATGAATTCTGTACTGCACATGAGGCTTTCAGACTTGAAACAGCCACAGAAAGATCCAACAGTTGAAAATCAAAGTGAAAATCAAGGTTAACAATTTTTGGTTTTCCCAGTATGAATTCTTTCAAGCCTGTTAGGAGTTTCTTCCTTGCATAGGCCACCTTAGCACAGTGATCCCTCCCCTGGACTGTGCTGCAGAAAATCCACCTCCAGGACACCATTAAGAAGCAGAGGATCACCAAAAGAAAACTAGAACAGTCTAAGGTGACAGAGTCAGTTTAGAAATGCTCCAAGCAAACCACGGTGACCCAGCCAGCTTGTCAAGTGTGCATTTCACAGGGATAGGAAAAGGCAACACTAACAGAGTTTTCCTGACAAGTTAACTCTGTCATATCGAGAAAGACACAAGATTTCCTGTACTGGGTTAGATTATGCAGAAGCAGTCTCAGGTGACTCTGCCATGCTGTTCTGTGTAGTGCCAACACTGAGTTCTAACACCTCCATCTTGTACTCTAAGACACTGATTAGTTCTTAACATTGCTCAGCAGCACATCCTCTTGGTATTCAGCTCAACTCCAAGTCATTGAACCAAAGTCCTTCAGGTGGTTGGAAGCAATTTTTGCAAAATTTGCAATGGAAAATAATCTTCAAGCACATTTACTGGCATATACAAGTTTCTAGAGAAAACTGGAAAATCTGGATACATACGGTGGACCAGAAAATTTGTCTGTACATCTAAAGCCTTGACTCCAAAGAATCCTTGCTTGCTAGCCCTGAACACTTTTGCAACCTAACAGACACTCCTGTCACATCAGGGTACATCACAGGCTGATGAGCAAACTAGTCAGAAGGATGAGTAAGAGTAAACAGGTAGACTCCTCTGCACTTTACAAGAGAGGATCAGAAAAATGCAATCCTACTGCTCGTTAATGGCCAAAATTACTGTTCAAGAGACTGTCAAGAAGATTAGGAAAGGTGGGAACCTGTAGAGTGGATATTTCAAAAGATGCAGTAGTGAATAATGTATTTGTAATAGATGTGACAAATATAACAGCCACCTTTTAGTATAAAAAGGTATTTTAATTCATTAGAAAGCATCTCCTACATGGCAAATTGTAAAAATAAATACAGTGTATATACTATGAGAATATTTGCAGCATTCCATATGTAAGAAAAATTTTTCTACTTCACTACATTTTTGAAATGCTCTTAATTATTGGTGGCAAGGGATGCAAAGAAAAAAGCCTGACTCAGTTTGCATGACTGACAATTAGAAAAAAGGCTTTTGGTCAGTTGAGCAAATACGATCTGGAGTCACTGACACATAAATGTGAAATCTCCCAGGGAGAAGAGGCTCTTTTCAAAATAAAGTCACGCTTTGAATTCTGGGAGAAGCAAAAAGCAGACACTAGATCTTCTAATTCAAACATATTCTAAAAGCCTACTGAGTGTTCCTGCAACATCAGCCTATTACAGTTAAAACTCACAACCTACTCTGGTACAAACAGCGTATGGAACGGTGCACGTGGAGCATGTGTTTAAGGAGTGCCCATCAGGGTGTACTAGTGATAGAAAGTTCCCAAGGGGAAGAACTCCCCTAAACAACACATATCTCTGCAAATCCTCACAGCCCATGTCAGAAATGGATGATCTCATCGAATACTGGTAATTTACACCTATTCTTCAGATGACAGTTACTGTCTAGGTAGTCTTAGTGATTCAGGCAGTACATGAGAGTGAGTTCTGGTTTCTGCCAGAACCTCTTTGTTACCTCAAAGGGACGTGATACTGTCTTTCAAAATACTGAACCAGTTCAGTGTACAAGAAAGGAAGAGGATTTAAGAGGTAGTCAAACCTAGCACTACTGCCTTTTGCATAACAGCACCCATGGAAAGCAATCCTTCTGTAAGAATTTACTTATCTGAGTAAGGAGCAGGCATCACATGTTTGTACAGGAGCCACTGCCTCCTCCCACTGGCATGGTTAGTGAAAAGCAGCTCACTGAGCAATGAGTTAAACACTAAATGCAGTGAAGGGAACATACAGAAACCCCTACAAGAACAACAATAATAGAGAGACCAACTCTCCCACTCAAGGTGACACCAGCAGGGCAGTGATGTGTCCTTACTAAGCTGAGCAGTCCATCAGGAATCAGTTATAAGTTACCTTACAAATAACAACTATGATTGCTGTACACACACACTGAACGGAGCACCAGAGCTTCAGTCTTTGTCTCTACAGCTCAGTCAATGACATTACAAAGTACCTTCCTGTTTTAAAAGATCCCCCATCAGCTTGTAACAGAACAAGATCCTGCCACTGCTGTGCTTCAGAGACTTTCAAAGACAGACACTGGGGAAGAGACCCTTGAGGACAGAATATTATCCCAAGACACTACTGAAACCTGAAACAGATGAGGGCTGTGATATTTCTTGCCCATTGTTACCAGATTAACCTTTCACCTGTGGGACTCACTGCTTCCATTTGCCCAACCTGTGTGTGATAAGCTGGAAATTAAATCATTTTGACAGCTGTAAAATGTCAGTTGTAAAAACAACGTATTTGTTTTAGTTCAGTACCTCACCTACAGCATCTGCTATTCATTGCCATATTAGTGCACCCACAAAGAGAAAAATCAGGTTCCTCCCTGCAGTGGAAGAGTGATGACACCGAGGTGCAGGACTAAGCCCAGGAGCCCACATCTTTATCACTGCACTTGTGAAACTGTATCCTCCAGCTGCAAGAACAGATCCAGAGATGATTTTACAAAACAACTGGGGATTCACTTAAGATATCTGAAATAAGGAGGGAAGGTAAGCTGGAGATGACCTTCCAAGTGCTGTTTGCAAACATTTGCATGTAAAGGAAACCTTATAGTGCTGTGAATCAGGTACAATCAGGAATCCACATATGGCAAACTCTGTTACTGGCAATGATTCAGCAACCTTTCACTCACAGAAAACCTGACCTCCATTCTCCAAGACCTTGCAGAATATTCTGTCAAGATTTATCAGGTTTTGTCAGGCCTCACGAAGGCATGGTAGTGAATATAGTGTGTTTAGGTGTGCCAGTCACTGATCTCACACGCACAGATGAGACAGTCCTCAAGAGAATGAGTATCTGTTGGTAACTGGCTGTTTCCTTAAATACATGGGTGACTCTTCATTATCAGGATTTTCTTCCATTCCACAGTATCAAATGTTAATTATTTGGCACATCCTCAAAATACCAATTTCTCACGTCAACCAAGCCTCATAAATTGCTACAATTTGTTTTTCTTACACACATTTCAGAAATATGCAATCTTTGTAAAGTTACATGGATTTTATGACTTAGTTGGGAAAGGTTAATAACTTGCCAAATGGAAAAGCTACCAGCAGGTTCTGTGCTCACAGTCATGTTGGCCATTGAACAGTGTGCAGATGTCTTTCCCACAGAAATATGCTTGTACATTAAAAAAGAAAAAAACCATCCATGATCTACAGTCCAGGGTCATGCTACAACTCCAGCATATGGCAATGAGTCAAAAATGTTCAGCTTTACTCATTTATAGGATGCTTCAATTGCCCCTCATTACCACTGACCTTTTGCTAACACAGAGCATTGACCTGAGCTAGGGTTGAATAATCCCTTGCCACAGAAAACTGCTGCTGCAAAGGTCAAAGAATATTTGAGATACCTGATGTAACAAAAAGATAACCAATGGCACATGTATTCTTTCCAGGCATGGTTTATTGAAAACACACCAAATTGTTATCCTACATACCTGGTTTCTAACAAGCATTCTACTTGTCTGCATTATGGAAAGATCCTATCATAATAATAATACATTCTGTCACGGTAACATTTGTTCTATGAAAAGCATAATCCACCTTTTTTTTTCCTCTCCATACTTGTAAAATCAAACCATTCTAAGTGTTTCAGTTTATAGTACAGTGTAAATACAATGCAAAATCCCACCAGTCTAAACTACAGAGAGAATGTTGAGCAGTATTACAGAAAACACATTGTTGATTTTTTTTTTAAATTCTCCTACCATGAAAATTTTAAGGCACATGATAGTTACAAACACATTAGCTACTAATTACCAGTAAGCTTCTTAGTCTAGTTATTTTGTTTTTTCTGAACAGTAAGAATCAGATTGGCAGGCCTTGTAGTATCTGCACTATCTTCCTCCTCACCTTGGACTTCATATCATCCTACCCCTCATGTCAAACTTAAGACAGAAAACAAAGGCTCATAGTATCTTCCCCTTAAATGCACTAGATTAGTTACTGTATCAGTAATCAGAGAATTTCTCTGTCAAAGATAAGAAAATACCAGATTTTAGGGGCATCATAACAAAGTAATTTTGCAAGAAACTATGCCTACATAAACACCTTCAAAAACTCCATCCCAACAGCACAAACCTGCTGGCTGAAGGCATTGGCACACTGTAGGTTTCACTGAGCCAGCAGTTGCTCAGCAGATGAGGCTACAACCACCCTTATGTGCCCATTTGGCTTCTGAAGCTTTGCTTACTCGAGGGTTTGACACGTGCACCTCTCTCACAGGTAGCTGAGCCTATGCTCAACCTTAAGGCAGGTAACAGAAGGTAACTCACCACCTTCAGTCTCATGGAACTGCTCTAGGAGTGAAAACTGCTTTGCCTAGCACAAGGCTTTCCTGCTAGAAAGCATTACTGAAACTGCTCCTCAGAGCTTGCATGAACTTAGGAAACTACTGTAACAGACATGCCACCCCTGGCTTTCTTCATGTGTCCCTGACATCGAGTCAGTTCCTAGTCTCCATGTCAGTCCCTCTTGGGGTATCTTGCCAAGAGAGACCAGATTTGCTTCTCTGGTAGAAGCACATTCAGAACCAGAAGGTCTGAGCATGTGAGAGCAGATCTGGGATAGGCAGCAGTTATGCCAGAACAGAAGACACTGAAGATCGGGACCTATGGCTGCCCAAGCTGTTCCCTAGGGAGCATCTC